GTATGTGTATCATCTGGTTGAGAGCGGAATCGTATGCTTACACCGCGGTCCTTCTCGTCCATGTTCTGCCAGCGGCGGGTGCCCTCGTCGGCGACATCTTTGGGGCGCGCATTGTCGCCCAGGTCCTCGGCAATCTGGGCACGGTTGGTCTGCATGAAGAGGAAGTAGGGAGTCAGGGCGCGCTTGGGCGCATTGGGGTCGGCGGGGGCGCGCTTGCGCTTCTTGGGGGCGCCGGCCTCGGACTTGGCTCCGGGGCTGCTGGCGCGGCCGGGGAAGTCTCCACCAGTGAAGGTGGGACCGAGGGGAAGCTCGATTGTGGCGCCTTCACCGTCGGTGATGCTCTTCACGTGCTGTACGTAGGCCTTGCCTAGGTCGGCGAGGTAGCTTTGGACTTCCATCAGGCGCATGACGATCTAGTATCATTAGTGATGCTATTTATATAGGTAAGGTAACAGTGCTTCGTCGCTTGAGGGTTTGGGGTAATGGTTTAGGGTTGGGGTTGTTTGGCGCGTAGCTGGTCAAGCTACGCGCCAACACTTTGGACTGTGGCAAGATCACAGCGAGGTGTGATTTGCGCACAAGAAGCTCAGTATGATACTAATGAGGCCTCACAGAATATCTGTAAAGCTCCAAAAGCTCACTGTATAGCTTTGATGTAGACAAAAAGGGAGGGTGTGTGTGCGACGCGTAGCGCGGCGCAGTGCACAAGAAAACAACACAGAAAAGCGAAAAGGAAATACAAAAAAGAAAAAGACGTGGCCATAAAAGAAATATAAAATGAACATACCAAGTCACCAGCCCGACGGAGCTCTTCTTTGTTGACCTCGACGGTCGCTTCATTGTTGGGGGGCATGGTGGCGGTTCTGCAGAGATGAAGTCTGAAGGTGATGAAAAAGAGATTTTCGGGGGGGAAGGGGGGAATAGGAAAGCCGAGAGAGGGGCCCACTGGCCATCGACCCCCCGAATGCACCGGGCATGCTCCGCTACTTTCGGCTTAGGTTCTCTACTGTTGTCATGAGACCCAAACTTCAGGGATTCCTGGGCAACACCGGTGCTCCCGTCCTTCCCCCCAACTTGCCCCGGTGACATGCCCCTCTAGGCACCTGGGGCCAGGTGGTGACACTGATGTTTCTTTTTTTTTCTTAATTCTAAAACATACCCGTGGTGGTCTGGGTGGAGAGATGTGTCGATTGCGTTTTGGACTGATTTAGGCGTGCTTTTAAGAATCTATCGGCTTTTTTAGATGGGTGTGTCTGGTTTCTTCATGACGGTTCCTAGCAGGTGCCATGGTGATTCATATGATAGGGCTTTCATTTTGTAGGATGGAGTCTATACGTAATTGATGTCGTTTGCCTTTGTGGAAGTTTCCTAGTCCATGTTTCGTTTCCTAATATCGTCCATGCGGTCGTATGGAGAGCCTTGGGAATGCTGCTGCGCTCTTGGGAGGGTGGGAGGTGTCGCGCTGGCTGGGCGCCCCGCCTACCCCTCAACTCTTCAGGGTCGCCGAAGGCCTGCAGAATACCTATGAGGGATCCAACTTTGCCCGAACTGTCGATGCTGCAGTATGAACAAATGCCCTTGTCTTGATATGTCTAGACTTCGAATTTTGAGTTGCTACAGTTCGGCTTCCTGTTTCCTCTCTACTTATCGCCTTGTTAGAGCTCTATATCTTCGTTCGCTTACCCCTCTTCCTGGCGCGTATACTATTTACTTTGCGTGATATTTTGCGCAACTTGTGGACTGAACTGGTCGGCGTATTCTAGAATATTAATGCCCTCTGAAGTTTCTCTCTTGACACTTTGGTCAATAGCAAATTCTCAATGGCAGACATCCTTCTACAGTAGAATGCCTCGGTGGTCTACAAGATATATATCTGCAATTCCATTTTATGATACCACAATTTATTATCGCTTTACTTAATACTTACCATCCTATAAAACCAACTGGTATAGATAATAGCAGATATGTTGTTATAATATTTACTTCAATATCCAATGATAAAATATCAGCCTAAATACGTAGCAGTGCGCTCAAAAAAGAAACCAATATACACGTCTATCCTACACGTATTTCCGGCTATCTATTATGCAATCATCTAGAACTTGAAAACCTGCTCCTTGTTGTAGCCGAGCTCCTTCAGGATACCCTCGAGCTCACCTTGGTCCTTGGGGCTGACCTTGGGACCGGAGATGGCCTTGTACATGGGAGGAGGACCACAGATGAAGAGCTTGATGTTGTCTTCCTTGGGCTCGGGGAGGACAGTCTTCAGCAGCTCCTTGGAGATGTAGCCCTTGCCGCCAGTCCACTCCTTGGGGGGTTGGTCCAGGACGTAGAAGGCCTTGAAGCGCTGGGGGTAGGTGTTCTCGAGCTCCTCGAGCTCCTTCTTGAGGAGGATGTCCTTCTCGGTGACGTTGCCGAACACGAGGGTCACCTTCGTCTTGTCCTCGGGGTTCTTGAAGATATGGCGGGCAAGCTGGTACATGGGGGTGATACCAGTGCCACCGGCGATCAGGCAGATGTGGTTATGCTTGTTGGCCTCCCAGGGGTACTTGACGATAGGACCCTTCATGGACAATCGCTGGTCAACGTTGAGGGAGTGGATGTGCTCGGACATGGGGCCATTGGGGTAGGCCTTCACAACGAGCTCGAGGTATCCGGGGATTTCTGATCCGTTTAGCAAAGGAATAATTATCGGACATGGTTGAACTTACCCTCATCGCTGGTAGGGGTGTAGGGACGGATGACAGCCTTGCCGCCCTCGGGCTTGAACTTGGTCAACAGAGCAGCTGTATATGATATCAGTGGTAGGAAATAACAGTTTGATGCAGACTACTCACAGGCAACGGGAAGACCAGAGACGGCATCCTTGTCCTCATACTCGAAGCGGATACGCTTGGTATTGCCGCTGAGGTTCTCAATGGCAGCAACCTTAAGATCGATCCAATCCTCACCATTGAAGACCTTGGGGCGGTCCTTTGGCTCGGTAGCAGCGCTAGTGCTGTAACGGTAGAAGCCAGCACCCAGACCAGCAAGACCAACACCGACGTAGATGGGGGCCAAGTTGGCCTTCTTGGGAGCGGCCTCCGCAGAGTACTTGCGGAAGCTCTGTGACTTGTTTTAGTTTGAGCATATATAGACAGGGTGATGCCTGCTTACCTGCTTAAGAGGCTGTGCACAACGGAATGATTGACGGGCAAACATGATGGCTATGAATTGGGGGAGTGTGGAAGGGAGGAAGTGGAAGAATTCGGATTACATATGCAAAAGCGGACAGCCTCCCCTGTCCCGAGCATGACGCCATTGCGGTACCTGGATTACTTTGTCATCTCGGATTTGCGGAAATGTGTCTGCATTTCAGTTACTTGGGTACCTAGAAGTTCAGTGCCTTTGCTCGACCGAAAGTTTGGCAACTTGCAAATTATATAGGGCAGTCGGAAATCACAAATCGACACCTAACTTGCAAGGCATAAAGGCACCAAGGCCACAAACATCTCGGTAACTCCCGGACAGTTCGACTCGGACGCCGAATACATGTACCGAGTTCGATTTGATAGGAGGAAAGCGAGATCATTCGATAGGACAAATCAGATGTTGGACGATGGTCTTCTCGAACCCATTGGTATCTGCTCCCTTGAAATGAAAAATGCAATCGACATAATAAAACCTTGAACAGGTACGTTTTCGTAGGCATTCCTGTATTTACATGTAGTTCGAGTGGGATAAGTTAGCTATGCACGATCTGATGTCAAGGTTCCAGTAGTGGGGTACATTTTATGCGGGTGATCTGAGCCTTGAAGTTGACATATCGTAATGGCATGAGGGATATAAAATCTACAATACCCTACTGGGATATAAATGATTCAAGAAACCCGATGATTTTTTTCAAAATAACCTAGAGATGCCACCATACGGGACTAGAGACATCCAACCATCTCGCCCATCCGGGCAGTGGTTTCCACAGACCATCTTTCATGCATGCTTGGCCATAAAACAGTCATTCATCCACACACTCCAAACCCAAACCCAGAACGATACATTTAAGCAAAGGTCGAGGGGCGAGAGTGAGTGAAGATCTTCTTGCCAACCTTGCCACCAGCGCGGTGGGGCAGGGGGAACTTGAGGTCCTTCTGGAGGAGCTGCTTGATGTAGGGGCGGCGGATGCTGTCGTTGTTCTCGATCTCAACAACCTTGAGGATCTGTAGAAATTGTTAGAATAAAGTTCGAGTCTCGGCTGATCAGAAAAACGTACGTGGATGGAACCGAAACGAGAACGGTGACGGGCAGCCATGTCCTGGTAGAGGGCCTCAACAGCGTCGGTGCGGCTCATCTCACGGAACTCCTTGTACATGTTGTGGGTACCGGAGCGCGAGTCGTAGCGGATCCAGATACCGAAGTTCTTGACCTTGAGGGGACGCTTCTCGTTGATCTAGAAAGTAATCAGCACCGCTTTTGTCGTGCGGGTGTTCCATTCCAACATACCACGTTGAGGGTGACGATCTCGCCGTTGGCCTTCTTCATCTTGCGGAGCGCAGACATGAAGTACCAGAAGCGCGACTTGGCCACAACGGTGTTGGGCGCAAAGATGCGCATGCGGTACAGCTTGGGCGTGGGGTTCGCCTCGTTGGGCAGGTGACGCCCGATGACCTGGTACTCAGTAAGACGCCCTGGATATGTTCCGTCAGTCATGGTTCTGAATGTGATTTCGAATCTCCAGATATTCAATTCAAGGGGTATGGCGGTGCGCGAAATTAGTTGGCGAGAATTCGAGAAGTCCAAGGGGTCGGTTGTGGATGTTGAAAATTTCGAGATTCGATATATAACCCAGATCGACAGTATGATTTCCCTCCATTGCAGTTGATAACAGCCGTTGATTGCCTTGCATCCTTCTCTTCGTGATCCTCATGTCGATATCGTGTAGTCTTGTTGCATCTCGAATTTCGTCCAACAATTGCGCGCACCGTCTCTCGAATGATCCAGGAATATCGGGAAGGGAATAGAAATCACTCACCCATCTAGAAGAATTAAATGTTAGTATGAATCTCTCAATAAATTGAGCCAGAGGTACTCACTGTGATTGTCGCTGTGGTGGTTGAGTCGTTAGTGTGCCGTCGGTGGAAAACGAGAATTGTGAGGTTCCGATTGTGCTTAGGGTTACCGCCCTTGCCCTAAGCGAGTGGAGGCTTTCCGCCTCACGCTAGTCTGCTTCTGGGCTTTTCATGCGCCACAGCCAGACCGCCCTCACCGCCCTCACCAGCCACAGGGCCGGACCTACCCCACATGTCTCCAACAATCAATGGCTTTCTGTAAGTCACGGTGTTATCCTCCCCGGACACTGTTGTTTTCACAACTCACCGTTCTGTGTCTCGCTAAGGTCGGTGAGACAGAAATTGAAGATGAGCATTTTTGCGACCGACTTCAAAGATGCCTACCTCAGTGGATCTGGCCCGCATCTAGCTGCAGTGCTCACTCCGATCGCGACGCCCGATGATCCGAACCGACTGCGCTCCTTCTACCAGTTCTCCAACGCCGCATTCCTTTCTAAAGACCTTCAATACGCGTTATTCCATGGAAAAAGCTTGAGAATTCCCAAGGCCGAACAGAGTGCCTGGGTAGACATTTTCTCGGCATTCTGGGAAGCTATTGGTGAGATCCTGAAGTGTGAAGATCGTCACCCCGGTGCCAGCATTGTCTCCGTTTTCAATGCGTGGAAAAAAGTTGCCAACACTTTGATCAGAGGGTACTCCAGCTCTTCTAGCCTCCCTGCTTGGACACTGCCATGTTTGTACACAGTGGGAAAGTACCTGCGCATCTTTGCGATCAATGCCGACCTCGAGGCCTCATCTTTGGTCTCGGCTGGCTTTGGATTCCAGGATGATATCGCAGCAGATGTTGAGAAGAATGCCCACCTGGAGAACGCGGCCCAGGTCATCAATCGCATGTTTACTCTTTGTCTCAGTGACAGGTAAGTACTGATGAGATCTGTCAGACCATTCCTACTAATAGATCAGGGCACCCATTGAGGAATCTCGCAAATGGGGTATCTACCAGATGACCAATCTGTTGTTCAAAACTTATTTCAAGGTATGCTTTTGCCTACTATCGCAGGGACCCGCTAATGTCTGTCGTTTAGATCAACTCTGTTGGCCTTACCAAGAACATTTTACGTGCCATCAAAGCCTCGTCGGCTGATTTGCCCTCTCTCGATGCTTTCCCCAAAGCCCACATCGTCACTTTCAAGTACTACGTTGGAGTCATTCACTTTTTGGATGAGAACTACGCAGAGGTAAGTCTAAAGACTGCCATGGGCATTTGCCGAGACTGATCTTATGTGCAGGCCGAAGAGCATCTGACATGGGCTTGGAAGATGTGCCACCGAGATGCGTACAAGAACCGAGAGTCAGTACCTATAGCTAAATACAAGCTGCTTTCGCTAACAAGCTGGTAGATTGATCCTCACATATCTTATTCCCTGCCACCTCGTGACTACTCATACACTGCCCACCAAGGAACTTCTTGCGCCATTCCCACGACTTGCACAACTTTTCCGGTCTCTTTCGACCTGCATCAAAAAGGGAGACTTGGTCGGATTCGACCAGGCCATGACCGCTGGCGAGGAGGAGTTTGTCAAGAGACGCATTTACTTGCCTCTTGAGCGTGGACGTGATATTGCTCTTCGCAATCTGTTCCGCAAAGTCTTCCTCGCTGGAGGCTTCGAGGAGCCCAAGGATGACCAGCCAGCCATTCGACGAAGCCGTGTTCCTGTGGCCGAGTTTGCCGCTGCTCTTCAAGTTGGCACCAACGCGACTGGTCGATCCCGAGTGGATATCGACGAGGTGGAATGCCTACTGTCCAACCTCATTTACAAGGTAAGCCATGTCGGTGTTCATGATGGGCTCATTAACTAACTATCCTCTCCAGGGCCTCATGAAAGGATACATTGCTCGTGAACGTGGCATTGTCGTCCTGAACAAGAAAGGCGCTTTCCCGGGTACTGGTGTCTAAAAGTTCGGTGGCAACAATGAAAATGGCATTCGCCATCAACTGGCACGTATCGACAAATTTTTCGATTATGTTGAGCCTGTCCGCGTCGGACTTGCATCAACCCGGCTGACATCCTCCTCAGCCCACATTCCGCAGTACTCGAGATACTGATCCGAATAGCTACAACGCTAATCCTGACCCAGATGGTACATCCAGCTAAGTGTGTGATCCTTGGGCATAATGCAGACGAAAGGTCAACCAAACCACCTCCGGTCCATACCTTCGTGCATGGACTGTGGATGATGTGGCCACCAGAGCCACAATGGATCACGAACTTACGAATTGATAACCAACGAAATCAAACAATTTTTAATTATCTTCGATTCTATTAGCAAAGTATAGTAGTACACGAGTATATGCGCAGTAAACCTAAACTAACCCAATGTCCAACCAATCGTACCAGCACTCCATACCCATATCATATCCATTTCATCCATACCTATCCATACAATACCAAATACAAATACCCAGCCTAACAAGTTGTAGAAACAGAACTAGAAACCAACTCACCAGTCTCAAAATCATCCTATAAAACCAAGTCAGCAAACCACTCCCACTCTCACTTCCACCCAAATCACACCTGACACCCTCACGCCATCATCAACTTTAATGGGATGAGAAAAGAACTCACCATATGGTTACACAAAGCAACAAAAAGATCAAAAAACAACAACCCCCCACGCTCCATCTCCATCTGCATAGTCCCACTCCGCATGAATGTAGACCGCGACCTAACAATCAGCGCCAGATAATGGGCTCGCAGCCTCGACTCTGTATCTGGTGTGTGCTCATATGCAAAGCGCGCACTGGCCAGGATCGTGCTGCAGGATATGTTTGTATGCAGGCCTTGTTTTCGGAGGGAGAGGCGTTGGAGGACGGGGAGGTTGTATTTCTGGGCGGCGCAGCTGTTTTATATAGATATTAGTATGTGGCAGGAGAGGAGAGGGGAGGATGGGGGAGTGGATGAGTATGGGATGGGGGAGTATGAGGAGGGAGGAACATACTAAATAGCCGTATCCCGCAAAATAACACACCCAGCCAGATGATGATACACTGTTGCCATTGCACCCTGGCTCAATTCTCCATCTCCATCACTGCCTGCAGTATCAGTGTCTACATCCTCGAGCTCCCAGGCTCGTTTTGTGGCGTTGTGTCTCAGTCGCGGGTAATAATCTCCTTTATAGAGGAATTCCAGGACACAGGATAAGACCTCGGCTTGTTCATCTGGTAGGTCGATGAGCTTGTTTGGATGGCGGGGAGGTGTGCGGGTGCGACTTGGGGTCGGTGTTTGAGTTTGGGCTTGAGACTGGACTTGGGCTGCGAAGAATGGTGATGCGCTCAGGATTGCTTCGTGGGCCGCGAAGAGGCGTTTTTGGGGTCCCACACGGAGCATTACTATTGGGGATGTTGGGGGTGATCTATATATTTTGGTTAGCTTGGGTAGCTTTTATCTTTGGGTTGGTTCTCGTTTTGGAATTGGAGTTGGGATGGCATTATATTGCACTGTGTTGGACGGATGGATGGGTCTTTGTAGATGGTGAGGGTTTTCATGTACCTTACGTCGGGAGGATTCTCGAATCTCTTCCTTCGCTCAAGATGACGCATCCTGTCCGAAGAACTAGAATCATCTCTTTCTCTTCCCCCTCCTCTCTCCCGCATTCGCTCTCGTTCCCTCCTATCTCTATCCCTCGGCGTCTGAACAGCCCTCCGCGACTGAGGCGTAAAAGCCGAAGACTTGCCCGCGCGATACCTAGGCATAGATGGAGTTTCGGGAGTGCGCAGCATGATCGCGTTCTGTTCTAGTATTGTATTTCAATTGGAATCAAAGGGGAACAGACAATGACAGGATACAGAGAGAGAGACGGACTTCAAGTTGGATTGGGATTGGGGTTCAGGGGCTACCTATTTATAAAGAGTGAGATACAAGATACAAACCAGTTTCAGTTTCAGCTTCTGTATACATGTATGCACTCGGAATGACATGTTATATACGGCAGATCGTCCCGCTAAAGCTGTCAGTGACTCGATAGGACGCGTCACGACTAGTAACACGCGTAACGCGTAAAGTGGAAAAGGGGCGCGTGGTCACGGGATGTGGGTATATTCGGAGATTGCACTTGACGGAGTAAGAAGTGATAGATCATCTGTTCAGGGGTTTGAATTGTGACGTGTGGAATCACCAAATTAGTGGATTCGACCGAGGTCTAGCATTGGTGCTTTTTGGTCTGCACCCCTTACTACTGCTGCATCTACAAATTGGAAACAGATTAAGGTAAAAAATTTGATTGCATGTACAGCTGAATGAAACCTGCACTAGGTACAATACAATGCAATAACTCAAATGGCCACCGAACGCCGATGCTTTAACGCCCCCGAAAAAGAAAGACATACTCCCCCGCATCCGTATTCCAAATTCCTCCGTCCAGGCGCCATATGCCAGTGCAAGAAAAGGAGACAAGAAAGAGATCGAGAGAAAGAAGAGCTTCACAGGAACACTTTGCGCGCGTCCTTGGGGTGGCTCTCGCTTGGACAGTACGGGCACTTGAACCGGTTGCTCTTCCCAAGACGCTTCAGTGATTCCTCTGCGATGACATGTCCGCAAGGCATCATCATTGGTGGGTTCGCATCTGTCGCTTGTTCCTTGGATACGGGGCAGACGAAGATCGAGTGGAAGAGGTATGAGGGCGGGAGTGAGATTTCGACCTAGTAAGAAATGAAGTGTTAGCATGAATATGGACAGCTGGTTGGGAGGGAAGGATTCTCCCACCGGAAGCTCGTTTTCAGATGTCCACTCCGTGCGCTTCGCTCTCATGATAGTCTGCAACTTCAGCAGCGTTGGCAAGGCGATCGCACCGGCAGTCGCAGCAATGTAAAGTGGCGAGTCAGCCGACAACCCGAGAAGAGAACAGAACTCGCGCGTGAAGAAGTGGGCCACATCGTCCCAGGCGGATGCAGTGTTGAAGAGAGATGCATAAGGCGAGGCTTCGAGGTTTGGCGAGTAGGCCATGGCACCGATCAGCTGCTGCACTTCTCGCAGGTATCGAGGAACAAAGACGTGGAATTCACGGCGGGCGTATGCTAGAGCTTCCTGCCAGCCTGTTGGCCCGTCTTGGCCGCTCGATCCTCCGTGGTACAGCCACACATACTGTAGACGGCAGAGCTCGAATTCCAGATTACTGCCTCGGGCTTCCAGGGCGTTGCGGTGTTCCCTTGACCATTCGATAGCGGGTAGAAGGTTCTTGTGTTCTTGTAGTTGCTGGAGGATGTAGTACATCGAGGCAAACTGTTTCCTGATCTCAGTTGAGGGGACTTCGTCGAGGTCGAGGAGGTTTGCGGGGTCGCTGGCGCTGGCACTCGCGCTCTCATTTGTCTGCTGCGTTGGAGTATCCATCTTGTGCTCGGCGATCTCCGAGAGGAAGGTTGCGGCGACGGCGAACTGACCTTCGCGGAGGAGGTGCATCGCAATCGCGCGGTTGATCAGGTTTTCCTGTGAGGAGAGGGCATCGTGATCGGTACTTGGAAGAGGACGGTCTTTGAAGAGCTAATTCACATGTGAGAGGGGTCTTGCTGAGAATGGAGAATGTAAGACCAAATACCTTATCGAGAGATTTGGTGTATTTGTTCAGGCCGCTATGGGTTTCCTTCAAGCTGTCATTGATCGAGTCAAAGGACGATTTGACCGGCGTCTGAAGCTTGGCCATGGTTACCGGCGCCGAGTCTGGGTCTATCAACGAACAACCTCGTCAGTTGAAGTGAGCGGGGATGGTTTCTACATGGCTTACTGACCAGCAGCTATGGCATCGCGGGCAGACTGCAGTAGATCGATCGTCGACTGGACATTCTTTATGCCTTGTGATGCCTTGACCCTTTTCAGGAGCCGGTCGTGTTCTTTCTGGACTACTTCCATGCTTCCCGATATCGCGGAGGTGATGTGGTTACCGCACACCGATTCCGCTTGCCATGTGGAGGAGATATAAGAATGGTTTATCGGCGCGGCCTCCAAGCAGCGTCGAGTAGGAGTGTACGCGGTAGAGCAATGGAGATTGGATATGAGGGGAAGATATCCCAGCCCGAATACAGTAGCTTAATCTTGTTCCGGCTGATCGCCTGACGACATAGTCCACGTGATTTACCTCTAAGCGGAAGTGAGTGCGAGCAGTGACATCTCGTCAAAGATGTTTGTTTGGTTTCCCTTCGCTTTCCAGCATCTCCAGGAGTACTAAGAGTGCCAGGTGTCCGATGTAAGGGTTGTTCTCCTTCGATACTATTCTCCCCTGCCCTGCCGAAACTATTGATTGACCGTCAGCTGGGACTCATACACCGCCCTTTTTTGCCAGGTGTCTGGACAACCAATGAGCGCCCAGTGTTTGACTCGGCTAAAGTTCCCAATTAAGACTAGCGCAAACTCAATGATTGCTCACTCGCGGGTATAAATACGTCTGCGCCCCCCCAACCTTCGTTCTCTTTTTCTTTCTTCTTCATCCAAGTGCACGGGTTTTACACGCATCAGTGAGGAGACATCCGAGATCGTGTTTTTGCTAGTTGAAAACTACCAAATTGACCACTTCAGTCGGCCCCTTGGGGAAGACTGGGAATTTTTGAAACAATACATGCCCTGATCCTCCTTTCTCATCGAGGTCAGATTTGGTATTCACGATGGGAGGCTATACCCAGCCACCGCGCGCATACCATGACGGTCTGCTTTTCATCACTTGTCGTCCTCGCGATGGCTTTTGGAGAAGAGAGCTGCTCGTCTGTAGTGTAGATATCGTGTAATGAAATTCTATTGACATGAGAATGTTTGTCACCGCGCCGATCGCGTCAACAAACCCTGTCATCATCGCCTACCCCACGATAGGTGCTCGCCCTCGCAGTTCATGTTACTTTCTCGATGAAAGCTTTCCCGCTCGCGCTGAATACTCATCGGCGCTAGCCTCGTGGATGTGATCCTTCTTCTACATCTTGGCAAGCTGTCCTGTTCTCATCGGCTTGTTTCCAGTCTGTCGATCACTTTCCTACAGTGCGGCGTCTCGTCACAGAGTGTCGTGTCCTTACTGTGGACGCCCAACACTCCTACCAACAGTTGCACGAATCAGTCCAAGCAGTTTCTCTGTGCGGCTGAACCGATGGAGATGCCCCTTTACCCTGTCTCTCACTCGTCAATACCAACCCAGCCCCCAGCTGCTCTCTCCACCCATCGCGGCTTCCGCGAGACGCTAGGAGGCATTAGCCTGGGGATCATCAGAGACTATTCCTTTCAGTGCCAATGAGTTGCCCTGCTGCGATCTGATGGAGCCTTTCAAATTTCTCATGAATCAGGGCAGGGTTCCTGATGCTGTCATTCTGACGCTCGAACACGAATATGGTGTTTGCTGACCTGCAGATCAGCTTGTCCCAACCACCCTGCACATTGCATTCCATGATGATGTGGACGGTATTGTTCCTAAGTAGACAGCGTACAACACAATACTCCTTTTCAGCCGACTCTGATCGTGCACCATGCTACTGAGCTTATGGCATCTGCTTGGGCAGACGCGCTCCGAGGAGGTCACCGACTATACACAACACACGGAGGATCATGGGATAACCCGTGGAAGTGGAATCTCTTTGCTGATAACGTACTTTGCATCGAATGTTCCCTGCGTACTGTAGGCTCGAATCTTGTGAAGAGTAGGTGGTTCTCCGTAGTTCCAGTACTGTTAACAAAGAATAGTACAGATAGTAGTCAATATGCTACCAACTTTTACTATTTCAATTCATTTCTTCTAAGTCCGATTTGAAGAGACATAATTTGCCTTAAGTCACGCGACTTTGTTGTCCGTTTTGTGACTAGCCCCGAATGATGCGCCTCTTCCTTGGCTGAGGCGCAATATTCAATCTAAATTATAACGACCCCTGTACTTTGCAGGATCCCACATTGTTCCTGTTTCTCTTTTATTTTCTTTGTGTATCAATGAAAATGTCACGACTAGCTTATTTATATATCGCGAGAATGCATCTAGAAATATATGAACAACTTCGAAGTAGCATGCCACTATAGGCTTTGCCTGAGCGGGAAATGATTTCTTTCATGATTATTTCCCAGAGTCTCGGAGGCCGGTAATCTAATCAATAATCCATTCTCCAGAACGCCGCTAAAACGAATTATCAACGCCTCCTTTGGATCCGCTAGAGATACGTCTAATACCAAAAAACCCCCTTTGAAAATTTGAGACGCCGAGTGTCATATCCGCCCTATAATACTCCTTTGTTTCCTGACCACAGATGATTCTTGGAGACTGGATATTGCTCCGGTGCAGAAGTCCGGGATATATTCCTATCATGTCCAGAGCCCAGTGGTCGGCCAAGGCCAAGGCGCCAGTATTGCTAATCTAGCAGCCTGCATGCGCGCTAAAGCCGTTGAAAGGTTTGTTATCTTTACGGCTCCTCCCGGGTGGCTGATCTTGAGCTATGGCATGAATCATCCATGGATTGCTTTATGCATATTTCTAACCCCACCCGACTGTGCCTTTGTATACGAGTACGGCGTATTATTCATAGAATTCCTCCTGGAATGTAGCCATGATCGTCGCCTATGACGACCCGAGACAAAGCTTCGGACTTTTTGTTAGGAAGACAGTCTCGCCTTGCAACATGATACCTATGAAATCTTCACTGCCATCCAAATTTCCAATCACTCTCTCAGCTGCAGGTAAACATGGGGTGTGGGGAACCAAAAATGGGTGAAACATTCCTCAACATTGTACTCGCAGCCACGGCGTAGTATATGGCATTTCAATCAAGGGCGACAAAACAAAGACCCATATATATAGCACACCCCGTTTCAAATTTGTTGTTCTTAATCATTGTGCATTTCCCACAAAACGCGAGTGTCTTATCCGAAACAATCGAGGGTCCCTGTTTTCCTTAATAGACCCACATACCATATCTGTTGTCATCAGGAGGCAGAGTAAGGATCGACAGGCACAATTCTTTGTCGCCTGATTCCACACGCAAGGTCAACTTCTCCTTATCCTCTGCTCAATGCCGATGTGATGTGGCTGGTATCCAACTTCACCAGCCGTCCATCTCTTGTCGTTCCTTATAGACTATGATTATTGCCAAAACACCCTTCATTATACGCCATGTCGCTCTTTTCGCCTCCTCCCTGGGTCTTTCCGACCATTTCGGCCTCTACCTGGCTAGGTGAGCTCTTCCAATTGTCCACGGTCGCTGTTGGCATCGATTTAACCGCTGGATTTAGCAATGCTGCTGGCTATGCTTGGGCACTGGACCATGATCGGTGAACCGAGATATGGCCTCATGAAACCGGGCCAGAATATACCGTGAGTATTTTTCCTTACGACGTCTTAGTACCAGAGTACTCCAGGGTGAAACTAACAGACCAAAGGTTCATTTCGGATATAGGAGCCCAGGAATTGAAGCCGTTGTTCATGATTGGATGTATCACCACAGTGTTGCTTCTCAACCTCTCATTTTATCAATTCATCCAAAACAAGGGATACGTCAACAAGCTCTGCACACACGCATCCTTCTTCTTTACAGTGCTGGGAAGCACAGGCTTGATCCTGCTATCCGTCTTCGACAACATCGACCACCATATGACACATGATGTATTCGTCACTATATTCATGTAAGTCTCCGCCAAGATATCATATCATGCAACTGCTGACAGCCGAAAGTGTGGGGTATCTAATCAGTGCCGCCCTGATGTGTTTAGATTATGTCCATCTAGGCATCTCGCATGCCCTGCGAGAGCCTATGATCTTTACAAGCTTTGTGATCAAGCTGTCCTTCATTATCGTCGAACTCTCCCTCGTCATCGTTTTCCGTGTCACCGAGGCCATCCACTATAACCAGAACAACATGGCTGCCACACTTGAATGGGGTATGTTCTCTCTACTCTTCTCGTTGGTCTTGTTCAGCTGTACTAACATGCATCCTAGTCATCGCCTTCGTGTTCACTGGCTATATTCTCTCCTTCATCGTCGATCTACTTCCATCGACTCAAAAACAGCTCCATGCCGAAAAAGGCTATGAGCAACTCGAGATGGGGATGGCCCACCCATAGCCCACCTCCGATTCACTCTTTTATATAGACTTGGCAATTTGTTAGCGTTCCTTTACCTGCCAGGTGTGATTAACATGTATATACTTCTACGCTCGTGACATGAATCTCGGACTTTCAACTCTTGGCTTTGAGGTAGATCCTCGGCTACAATCAACCAATGACTCTAGCAAGCTACACTAGGAACACATCTAGTCTCGTGAACTTCTTTTCAATATAGCGCTGCCAAATTAAGACAGGCTAGTGGCATTGGCCTACACTGCGTTCCACCCGCTTTCCCATCCCAGTCCCCAAGGCCGAATCTCGGCCTAATAATAACAGCTAATACATCCGAGGATTGCCCACGACTCCCTAGGCTACCGAATTGCTGCAATGAGGATCCCGATTCAGCTACAGGGCTGAAGCTGTGGGGAGTGGTACGTACGCATCCGCCTCATAGCCCTAACGCCAAGAACTCGGCAGAAGTCCAGCGCCAGCAATTGATGCGCTCTAAGGGAACTTTGTAAAACCCAATATTATGCCATTCCTGTCTGGGAAAGCTTGTCAATATACGCGGGTAGATATAACGGGTGGCTACAAGGTTGGTTTCTCTCATACAGCTTCACCGAACCCCGAGATAGAAAGACGTAGTATCCGATCAACCGATCGTGAAGACGTGCGAGTACGATCTGCTGTAGCACCTAGTGACGTCCTGCGCTATCAATCGATGCTGATTCAAGTGGAGGAATGTGTCTGATCCTTGATAGGCCTCCGCTACTCCACATCTCATAATGGGAGTCGTAAGAGGTGACATTGTTCCCAATTTGAGACTAGGTCCTGGCTAGAGTATCCTAGTTGCTTGTTAGTATCCTGGTTGGTGTTGACGCCACTGCTGTTTATAAAAGGGGACCTGGGGCCCTTCCTCTTGTTGGAATCATATTCACATCTCTTACTCATACTCACGTCTCATACTTCCCTACCTTGTCCGTCACACCACACCACACCACCACATTCAATCATACATCATGGGTCTCTTCAGCCACCATCACGACCACCACCAGGGCCCTCCCCACGGCGGTCCCCAGCAAGGCCCCGGCGGTCCTGGCGGTCCCGGTTTCGGTGGCCCTCAACATAACGGTGGCCCCGGTGGCCCCGGTGGCCCTGGTGGTCCTGGAGGATTCGGCGGTCCTGGCGGCCACCAGGGAGGACCTGGATTTGGCGGACCTCAGGGTGGACCTGGCGGTCCCGGGGGTCACCACGGAGGCCCAGGAGGCCCAGGTGGATTTGGCGGACCTCATGGCGGACCTGGAGACCATGGTGGACCTGGAGGTCCCGGTGGCCCTGGCGGTCACCAGGGAGGTGTATGTGTATCCCTCATTGATTGATGGAAGAACTTTTGCTGACGTTCGTATAGCATGGTGGTTGGTAAATGGATAATTTGATTGCCATGATCGGGGTGGATATACCATCATTGCGGACGATTCCCGTTGGAGTTAATAATGCCATTTACTATCTCACAATGTCTTTGAGGAATCATCTTTATGTCGCAATATAACTGCTATCTCGCTGGACGAGCATGATGGTGGCTTTGAATGAATTGGTTCTTTTGACTTTGGGAATCTGAACTGCTGTAGAACAATTAGCACATAAATCCGAACTTGCAGGGTTATTCCGTACCTCTATGTCCAAGTATTGTTTGTCAAACAAAGGGGTTGATGGAGTGTTGACAATCATCCTTCTCACTGACGCTTGTAGATCTAACTCACCGCCTAGTGACGTCGCCGCTTCACTCTCGGAGTTCACCTTTCATGTCCGCGGAAGTCGTCAAGGCCCTCGCCCAGTCCTGCTGCTTTTTATTCCGGGCTCATAATATGACCAAAGTCTCGTTACCTGGATATGTCACGATTGTTCCTACTTGAGGCAAAGCGCAGGAGGATCGCAGGAAGGTCGGCACCTCCCTTCGCATCTTGAGCTTCGAGAGGTAGCCTGCTGGAGGCTCAAATGAACCCCCAACCTATTCATTTTCCGCCTAACAAACAGCCCTGATTGGGAAACCGCGCATCATGCAGGCAAGTGCCCAGGCTACACCATCGGTGGAACGGACCGACTTCATGCAGACATCGGATGGCATCAGGAGAAACCCCGCCTCCAACACCGACGCAATCGACCACCAGCCCCCGCAAGGCCATCAGAGACTCGTCTTCACCGACATGGTCGCCCTCCGCTACCTCGAAGAAGATCCCTCGACCGATGTGCTCCACCGACGCTCGACGCTGCAGGGCTATGAGATCTACATCGTTGAGCAATGGGCTTGCTCGCGCGTGCATCCTACGTTTGTTATCTCGACTTATACCGGTGATCCTTCGCACACTGTGGTTGTCGGGGTACTAAGCGTCCCGACGAATGAAGCTACATGGTCGCCGCGGCTGCGAATGTACTTTGATGCTATGAAACAATGTCACGCGCGAAAGAAGGAGACACCGCTAGGGACTGTTATGGTTACGGATCTGAGCTCATTCCCGTCCGCTTTGAGTGTCATTCCTGTTCCCGGTGGCGATCTCAAGAAACATAGAGAGGATTTTATTGTGAATGAGGACTTGAAGAGACTCGGTTGCGCTGGCCGTGCGGGCTTAAAGCTTCAAGCTCCGTCGGCTGCGACCGAGGCCAAGTTTCATCTGTTGTACCGGACGAGTGAACGGGTTCCGCTATACGCTGCTGTTATGGAATTGGTTAGGCAGTGTCAGACAGCTCTCATGATGTTTGACAAGCTCGCCCCGGAATATGTGGACGGGCTACTTTGCGATGTGACCGAAGCGGCCATCAGCGATTGGTGGACAGACATAGGGACAGACTTGTACAACATTGAGCCAAGCGACAGTAGCTTGGGACCAACAAGTGTGGCTGCTTTGCTGGGGACGCTCCTCGGAGCGCGAAACCGTCTGCATGCATACGGTGCCCCAGTGGGCAAAGATGCATTTGACATTGCCAACTTGAAGAGGGGCATTGGGAGTTTTCAAAAATCTCAGAAAATGAGAAAATCCCGGAGATTGGACCGTCATACATTGGATCGATTACACCGCGCCACAGCCAAGGCTGCCAATTCGGAGGGCTGGACCGATGCGGTGAAGTCTACGATGGCGGAGCTCAGTGGACAAGGTGGTGAAATGGTCATGGGGATGGTTCGTGGGCGTGACAAGGGCGGCATTGCCGATATTGAAACGCTAGATATGGACACTTTTGTACAGTGTTGCAACGGAGAACGAGCCAAATGGTTGTGGTTGGGTAGACCACGCAAGAGTGGCTTTGAGGATGGCTTCACGCGTGGGACTGGATCGGACATGATGTTTACGACCGATGAACAGGGCGGTTATGTCTGGACCAGTCGCAAGAATCATTCGACAGAAGACCTGCATGAGCGAGTCAGCTCCACCTTTGATCGCTCTTGGAAGATGCCAGAGCCATCGGCTGTTGAAGAAAAAGAACATCGCAAGAAGGGTGTTAGCGGACGTGTTTCCGATGCCCGCGCAGGCTTGGGACGCTTCAAAGATGCAGTAGGACTACAGGGCCTACGCTCACATCATCATCAGCAATCCCGAGAAAGCGCGGAGTTGACACATGATGCTGCTTACCGCCCATCAATGGACAGCGACTCTGAGATGCCCATTTCAAAAGCTCGGACCGACTCTGGTTTCCAGTCTTCGGAAACAAAGATCGGGACTGAGATAGAAGATCCCATTGAGGAGGAGCAGGAGGAGAAGTCTACTCAACTCTCGCGCATCCCCGACTCTGCAGAGACCAAAGCCCCCGAAATTCACATCGAATCTGCACCACCTACTGTTGGTCTTGATAAACTGCCCCAACCCGATCAACTTACGCCACAACCTGAAGTCATTGACGATGAGTCGGATATAGAGCGCGTCATGTCTCGGTCAACGGCGGCATCAAGTGACCGCGATCGTGAAGGCTCAGTTAGCGGCCTGGCTGTCATGGCTCTACGGCGGCCACAAAGCTGCGAAGATTTTCAAAGAAGTGAAAGGGAAATCGAACGACGAGACGACGACTGCCCGAGACACCTATCTTTCAGCACAGTCGAAGAAGTGGTACTCAAATGGGAGCCAATAGGCAACAACCCAGTTATCAAAGTAACAGACAACCTGGAAGACTCCATCGCCCAAGAAGACATGCTCGCCTCCGAGGGACGTATCTTCAGCTCTCGGATCCTGAAATTGAGCCAGCACACCGTGCCATGGGTTGAGCGGCAGGTCGATTCCGTGGACGGTCTCAACCAAGTCCTCCACGACCGCTATGAAGAGCTCAACTCAGTCTATCTGGAGCGATTCGCCGATTACCAGAGACTACGAGAACGATCTAGTGACATCCTCTTGGATGAAAACCACCACCTCACCGATGGCGTGAAGCGCGTTGAGCTGCTAGGCGCCAAACTGGACTACGAACTACACGTCCTCGAGTCCAAAGTCGAAGACATGGAAGCCGGCCTGAGTGACTTCGAACGCCACCTTGTAAATGTCGAGACGAGAATCAAAGCCCTGGTCAAAGGCGAAGAACAACACAGCACATCCTGGACAGCCTGGATCGCCCGCACCATTGGCTTCTCACCCCGATAACGCTTGTATGATAAGATTCCTCTTTTTCATTCTCCTGTTTTTCCCTTTTCCACCATATTGTACATATTCAGATAGATCGGCCGTTCTTCGCCGTCCACCCGGTGATGGTTATAAACGTATGAAACCATCATTGAAACAAATCCAGTTCCCGGTAGGCCGAACCAGTCATATAGCCGTACACCAGAAGCCAAGATAGTAATCACTGAGCTCTCAATTCTTCTTTCTCCCCAGTTCAAGTCGTCTGCAAACGCAAACTGCTTTACATGCCGAAGCCCATGCCGCCACCCTGCTTGCTGGCGGCGGCTTCGCCCTGCATCTTCTCGCTGACCTTGATGTTGACGTCGAAGAACTTGGAGACGCAGCGGTCCAGGCAGACGGACTCGCCCTTGTTCAGGTCGCCTTCGCGGTAGTCGGCGGGGACACACTTCTTTGTGCAGGACTCGGTCAAGCTGTGCGACGGAATATTAGCCACCGATTTGGAAAGTCGGAACAGTGATGGATTGGATTAAAATAGCTTGGATTGAGGGTCTCGCAATGCTTGACAGCAAAAGAATAGCGATTCCTAACCCGAGATTCCGCGCAACTTACCGGTTGAACATGTCGGAGATCATCTCAACTTCTGTCTCGGCGGCAGCAATCTTCTCTGCCGAGGACATCTTTGGGGCACCGCCGAAGAGGAAAGACATGATGATAGTAGATGGTAGATGGTAGGTGGTATGTTGTAGAGTGTAAAGTAGAGTGTAGGTGATGGCTATTACGGAGCCCAGGGTGGAACGGGAGAACTGGTCGGAAGCTTGGGCCACCCGCGTGGAAAAACTCGGTCGTTCTGCTCTTCTTCTTCTCTTCTTCTCTTCTCACAATGTGAACTCACAATGAACTCAACCAGGTTGTTACAACATGGGCTGCGAAGGTAAGCTACAATTGCATTTACTTGCATTTGCATCTCCCCTATATGATGATATTATACCCCCTGCATTAGAACCGCTACAGTAATGCCCTTCGGGGCATATGAACACTACTGGATTTTATATCTGACAAGCTCCTTTCAATTTGGATCAATCTCGTTCATTTATTCTCGAGCATTGCTAACCCAATTTCAGTGCAGGATCGCGACTCGCACGCCCGTGTCGGCCTACCGGGACACTAACACAGCACATCCGGATGAACAGCTCATCGTCAGAGAAAGCCATGCAGGATCGATACCAACAATTGAAATATATCTGTGGAGATCCATACCCTCGCCTTAAAGTGAACAAAAACACATTGACGGTGCCTGAGTTCCGCTCTCGATACAGCGAACTCGCCAACAATGACACAGTAGAAACTACAGTCTCCGTCTCTGGTAGGTTACTCTGGCCATGTTCCAATGCCCTTGTACTTAGATTAGTTAGGTAGGGTCCATACCTCTAGAATCGCCGGAAGCAAGCTGGTCTTCTTCGATATATGGCAAGACGACCATAAAGTCCAGGTGATGTGCAACATCCAGAGCGTCGCCTCTGCCGAATTCAAAAGATTCTTCCGTCTACTGCGTCGTGGTGACTCTTTCTGTATGTCTGTCTGGCCCGAGAGAGTCTTGTTTCGCCTGCTAAATGGTGATAGCTGTAACCGGTAAACCGCACCGCACTGCTCGAGGTGAACTCACTATCGATGCCACGCAGCTTCCGACGCTGCTGTCGACTTGTTTCCATGATATCCCCGTACACGATACCAAGCATGAGGTCTCGCCTTTCCCTCGCCATGTTCAGTTCCTGGCCGATCGTCCCACGATGGATATCATTAAAGCCCGCTCGGCTCTCACTCAGTATATGCGTTCCTTCTTCTTGGACCGCTCTTTTCTGGAGGTCAATACCCCGATTGTTGAAGGTGTGGCTGGCGGTGCCGTTGCTCGTCCGTTCTATACCACTGCCACTGAGTTCTCAGACCGTCGGCTGTCGTTGAGAATTGCACCAGAGCTATGGCTCAAGCGCATGGTTGTTGGTGGATTCGACAAGGTCTTTGAGATTGGACCGTCATTCCGAAATGAAGGTGCGTAAAAAGATATCAACTAAGACATTGACCGGCAAGCTAACAGACTCCAGGCTTGGACAAGACTCACAACCCAGAGTTCACCACCTGCGAATTCTACCACGCCTACGCAAACCTCGACCACCTAATGACCATGACTGAAGAGCTTCTCTCGGGGATGGCAGCTTTCATTGAAAAGTTCAACACAAAAGGCACACTCAACCCGACAACAGCCAACTTCACAACCCCCTTCCGCCGCATCGACTTCATCACCGGCATCGAAGAGGCCATAAATCGCAAACTCCCAGACCTCGAAGACCCCAAAGCCCTCGAACAAGTTCGCACCATCTTCACCGACCTGTCCCTCCCTCTTCCTCAAAACCCCTCCCTCCCCCGGCTCCTCGACGAGCTCTGCAGCCAATACGTGGAGCCGCAATGCATCGACCCAACCTTCATCATCAACCCACCCGAATGCCTCTCCCCACTCTCCAAATCATTCCTCCATCCAGTAACCAACCAGCGCGTGGCAGCACGTGGCGAGCTCTTCATCGAGGGCAAGGAAGTGGTTAATACATACGAAGAGGAAAACTCGCCGTTTGAGCAGCGCCGCAAATTCGAGGATCAGATGCGGTTCAGCAAGGATGCCAATGAGCCTGGCGAGATCGATGAGAGTTACCTCGAGGCCCTGGAGTGGGGTCTGCCTCCTACTGGTGGATGGGGATGTGGCGTTGATCGTCTCGTTATGTTGTTTACTGGTGCTAAGCGCATCGGCGATGTCTTGCCTTTCGGGAATCTCCGGGCTGTGACGAGACGGGCTGGACAGGGACAGGCTGAGTGATGTAGAATTGGTGAACGGATTGTACGATAGTAGAGATGAATAATATCATAAAACTATAAGATTATACCGTTACATTGAACAGTCCCTGCTTCCTGCTTCCCTGCTTAGCACCGCCACTAACCGCTAACTTAACTTATCGTGATAAACTCGAAGCGGGGAACCTTCATTCTCTTCAATTCCTCACGATGGATGGAAAAATGGCGCCCGTGGCACAAGCTGTTACTGTGAGCCTGCAGGAACTCATCGATGGTAAGTTCTGCACTGCAACATAAGAGGGTAGATCTTAAACTATGCAGGAACTGTCTCCTTCGACACCCTGACCGAGGCCTTCGGACCAGCCTCCCTAGGCATTATCGTGGTCAAAGACCTACCCTCAACATTTGTAGAACTGCGCAAAAAAGTTCTATCCAATGCTTCGTATCTCGCCGCACTCCCAGAAAGCGAACTAGGTAAGTGTGTGATACCCTAGGCTCTAACCAGAGCGCAAAACCAAAACCCAACTGACGACCCACAGAATCCCTCACCAGTCCAGAATCAAAATACCTGGTCGGCTGGTCCTGTGGCAAAGAAACCCTGAAATCAGGTCACTTCGACACGCTCAAGGGCTCTTACTATGTCAACTGCGCCTTCTACCAAGACCCATCATTGGATAGTGCGCCAGCGGAAGGATTCCCTGATCTACCGCAGTACACCGCACCAAATATCTGGCCTCCACCAGCGAAACTCCCCGAATTCAGGGGTAGCATTGAATCCCTCTGCGGTCTGATAATCGATACGGCGGCCTTGGTCGCCAAAGCCTGCGATCGCTACGCTGAAGCAAATATCGAAGGCTACAAGCCTGGGTATCTGCACCACGTGGTAACAACCAGTCTAACCACAAAAGCAAGATTGCTACACTATTTTCCCGGAAACGACAACACCGCCGATGCCAATGCCGAAGCTGATGCCGAAGCTGATGACGATGACTGGTGTGCCACACACCTCGACCATGGCTGTCTAACCGGCCTGACATCAGCCATGTTCCTCGACGAAGCGGCTTCACCACCGGTTGTAGAGTCCGCTACATCTATCCTTCCCGAACTATCCCAATCCCCGGACCCCTCAGCTGGCCTGTACATCCGCTCGCGAACAGATGAGATCGTCAAGGTCAATATCCCTAAGGATTGTCTTGCCTTCCAGACTGGCGAAGCATTGCAGCTTATTACGCACGGGAAGTTCATGGCCGTTCCGCATTTTGTTAAGGGGGCGAAGTGTATCCCCGGTCAGAAGATTGCGAGGAATACTCTTGCTGTGTTTACGCAGCCGAATTTGGAGGAGGAGGTTAGGCCTGGGCTTACTTTTGCTGAGTTTGCTAGGGGTGTTGTACAGAAGAATTATTAGGGATGCGAGATGTGCGAATCTATCCATTCTACTTCTCTTGGAAGCTAAATTAAATTGCCTTTTGTCTGTCGTACTATACGAAATAGTGGGTAGTAGTATAACCGAAAACGGCAAACCACATCATCTCCAATTCTAATCTCAGGGGCTACCAACCCCAATACATTGGAAATCACAGGAAACGCGCCACTCTCAGGCCCGAGTGACGCATTTAAGCACCTCGGCATAAAATGTCGGTATCGACAAAGTTGCCAAGAACCGACCCGAGCAACCCTCACTCGCTGCCACGATGCCGAATCTCCACACGTTCCAACTCTACTCCAACGCAATCCCAAAACCGCGCGTTGATCGTGGGGTTCTCCGCATTTCCCCATGGTTTTGTTGGCGCAGAGATGATTGGTCTGGCGTAGATCATCCCTTGATGCGTTTGCGCTAGGGCGTACGGATCTGTAGCTTGTTTCCACTGCTTTTCGATATTACTCCTTTTTTGGGGTGGTTTATAGGCTCGTTTCTTGTTTTTGGGTGTCGTTGATCCGCTGGTTATAGTTTGTTGATCCTTTCCTCAGCGTATGCGGGGGGACCTTGGACCTTGGACCTTGGGAGATTGGATGTATTCATACTATACTGTTCATGGTGGCTAGGGATGTCTATATAAAGCCAATGGAATTCGCAATCGAGATGAGTCTTCTGCTTCTGTTTATGTCTGTTGAATCATAATCCCAGGCAAATACCGCGTACCAATCCATTCTGCAAACTATACCGTAACCCTAACTATCCACCCACCCTCTTCCTCTTCTATACACAATCCACCACCAAAATGTCCCACGAAGAAAATGGCATCAGTGTCAAAGACACCAACCGAATCTCTCCCTCCTCCTCTTCAAATGACGACATTGAAACCGGCCGCTTTGGCCCCCTGGCCCATGTCAACACTGCCGAAAGTCGCTACGCAGCCTTCGGCGGCGAGGCTCAACCAGGTCTATGGCGGGTCCCTAAGGACCGCAAGATAGCCAATCCTGCGCCGTTGGGATTATGCGGTTTTGCTCTGACGACTTTTATTCTGGGGTGTATTCAGATGGATGTGAGAGGTGTTACGCAGCCTAATATTCTTGTTGGGCCTGCTTTGGCTTATGGGGGGTTTGTGCAGCTTTGTGCTGGGATGTGGTATGTATTTCTTTCTCTCTCCATGGGTTTATGAGGGAGTTCTGAGATGGCGATTGCTAACGAGTATCTGCAGGGAAATGGCTATTGGAAATACATTCGGTGCCACTGTCCTCTCCTCCTATGGTGGATTCTGGATTTCCTTGGCCATTACTTTCATCCCCGGTGGATTTAACATAATGGGCGCGCTCGAGGAAGCGGATGGGGGGTCTCCTTTTATGTTCTACAATTCTTTCGCTCTATACCTGATGGTTCGTACCAACCTCTCATTTCAATGTCCACGTAAAAAGCTAACTCTTCTCCCCTAGGGCTGGTTCATCTTCACAACCATAATCATGTTCCTCACCCTCAAATCCACCGTCGCATTCTTCTCCCTCTTCTTCTTCGTCGATCTCGCCATCCTGATGATCGCCCTTGGATATTTCTATCCCACCGGTGCATTGCCAAATGCGAATTTGCTCAAAGCCGGTGGATTGTTTGCGCTCCTTGGTGCGTTTTTGGCTTGGTATAATGCTTTCGCTGGTATTGCGGATAGCAGTAATAGCTTCTTCTTGCCTCCTGTTGTGCATTTCCCTTGGTCTGAGAAGAGACGGTCTGCTAGGATGAGAGAAGAATGATGTTTGAGGGTATGCTACGAGGTTATGATTTGTTGGTTATTTAATGGCTCTATGTATGTGATGTATGTGAGACAGGGTAATGAGAATAGGTTTGAATTTAACGAGCTCGAGGATGATATTCAATCTGGTTTGTAAAATAAGATAGTTAGTTATGCGAAGCTTAGATGTGTAGCCATTGAAGACAAATGATATTGTCGTAAATCAGATTTAACTGAGTAAACTAGAGACAGGAAAAAATACAATCATCGGTATGATGTATAGATATCTTGGTTTAACGTTATACAGCTTCATAGGTTTGAGGACTAAAGAAGATCCGAAAGAACAGCCTGGATGAACAACCAAAAACCAGAAGACAGCCACCATAAAAAGCAACAAATAGGAAAATAAGTAGACCCGAAAACAAATAAAAGAAAAAGCAAATGTATACCAAGTCACGTGCACGCGAACATCAACACACACTCAGCACCCCATGCGGGGACGCTAACAACATGTATAAGGGTATGAACTGAATTACTTCCCCTTTCTTCGCGTTCTGCTCCTATCTTCTTTATTCTGTCCTCTTTTTGCCATCTACGCAACTCCTGCTTTATTTTAATTGTAACCCAAGGTTCAGTATGTATGGGTTTGAGTGGGATGGCGCACACAGGTTTAGCGATGCGGATTTGGATCGTCCCTGTGCCAGTTGTGGTGTGATGGTTGGCGACCATCCTGCCAACCAAGAATATTGTAGGGGAAGCAGAATTAGAGTCGCTTCGCCCAGTCCACCCCTTGTCGTCAGACAAGGTCTTAAGTCTACCAGGACTAGAGTCATTTCGAAAACCAGCATCCCCACGGAATTTGTGCCTCGACACGGGAATGATACATCTGATTCACTTTTCCAACCTGGTACCACGACTAAGGCTTCACCGGTTCCTCGTCGTTTCATTAATCAAGACGACGCAAATGAGTTTCTCATCTACACTGATGGTTGCTGTTTGAACAATGGCCAAGCCAATCCAAGAGCTGGCTGCTCAGCCGTTTTCAGACCGCCAACTCGAACGCGCCAATATTATGGCCGCGTGAGCTTTGCTCTCGAGAACAGAGGCCCCACTGGCGAGCCACACCCGCAAACAAGCAACCGCGCAGAGCTGCGAGCCGTCATTGCAGCTCTGCGGTTCCGAAGCTGGGCTGGTGAGGGGTTCAGTAGTCTAGTCATTGCTACCGACTCTACATATGTGGTCAAAGGTAGCACGGACTGGATATGGCCATGGATGCATTACGGCTGGGAAACAAGAGCTGGCACGCCAGTTAAAAACCAGGACCTTTGGCTGTGTCTTTTTGCCGAGATAGAAAAGGCGTATAGGTCGAGGTTGAGCATCAAGTTTTGGCATATTCCAAGAGGTTGGAATGAGGTGGCAGATTTTTATGCCAAAGAAGGGGCGGAAACAGAGAGACGTGATCATTTTACGGATTTGGTGTCCCCTAAGGATTAATGTTGGAAATCTGGTTGTTTGCTGAGACCTTGATATCCATCGCTCATAGAACCACGTTGGTCATGAATTGATCTATGGATACATGTAGATTTTACGTCGTTCAAGTCTTCAAGCGAAGGAAATACGTAGTAGAAGAGAATGAGAAAGGAACAAGCGTACAGTGCATGTCAAATTCGCACAAGCCACGTGTGATTTATCTACTGTATGTACATATATCTAGCAATTACCCCCGTGGGACACGAAGAAACTGGTCGCCAGTGCGGAATACAAGACATGCTTTACAGTATAACTTACATGTGTAACCAGAACTTTGATATGAACTGCATAATTTGCTGAGCTCATTGAAATAAGGCAAAGCTGATATCGGGTAAATGCTGGATCGGGATTTCGGGTTCAAGTATCTCGGAAAGCTGAATTGAGGCGAGAAAGGGGCAATGTTGGGCAAAGAGGATAAAGTACGAAGTACAGTGCATAATTACGGGGCGACAAGGAACATTTAACCTGACCCGTAGGGAGATTCACGATCGAATTGACTTTGTGTATTTCGAGCTTCGGTAAGTAGCTTGAAATAAGAGATCCACTCTAGTTTCCCAACAATCACAGTGTGGACTTTTTCAAATGAACATTACAGTATGGAAAAGTCATGATATTTACTGGAACCAGGCTATTCTGAATCAATTGCATATTGAGTGGACCAGACCGAAAGGTCCAGAGTACGGAGTAGAATTCTTCATTTTGTAAACACCTTAGCTTCATCCCTGATGTCGGCAGCTGCACGGTTGATCGTCATTTATGTCCGGCTAAGGATGAGTTTTAATTGAACGATCTCGGTGGGTCGATTGATAGCTCGATTTGAAGAACCTGAAATCTTGCTGATCACTTCCATGGCATAGCTAGTGTTGTAAATCATCTCCTCTACGAGCAAGAAGTGGAACTCTTAGTATCTGTAATTCTCTACGACCAGGCCTTTTTCGCCCAGATATTTAATGACTCTCTGCTCCCTGCTGTCAGTCTCTCATACATCTCCAGTCTCTCGTTCCACTCACTTCCAGTCTTTCATTCATCCAACTTCCATTCCACTCTTTCAAATTTCATCATGTACGCCTCCAGCATCATCGTCTTCGCCTTGAGCGCTCTGACTGCCACCGCCACCCCTGTGACGCCCTCTCCTCTTCTCTCGCTGAAGGCTTACTGCCCCGGCAAGTACTTCGTCAACCCTCAGTGCTGCTCCACCAACGTCGGAGTCGCCGCTTTTGACTGCAAGATCCCTACTGGTGCTCCCTCCAGCCTTGAGGACTTCAAGAGCACCTGCTCTGCTGAGAAGAAGGATGCTCTGTGCTGTCTCATTCCTCTGGTATGTTCCATCGGATAACCGAATGTTTGGCTATGATATCTAACAAAGTATATAGGGTGGTGCCGACCTTGTTTGCAAGGAGCCCCAGCAGATCTAAGGGATCCCTATAGGCGAGAACTTTTACCACGATACCCGAATATCCGAATCCTCGAATTCCATCCCCTACCTCCTCCAACAGTCAATATGAGGGAAGGTCGGAGGAGATATTCGAGAAGACTGGGACAAAAATATGATGTACATAATAACCCATGAGTCGCATAAACTTAATCAGATGTGCCAGCGAGGCATTATTATGCTCCAGAAACAAGACCATGTGCATAGTAATATTCAACAAGCTATATGGTGTCTCCCGTAATCCATGTAATACGTTGGAGGGGGAATCAATATTGAATTAAGTCTACCAATTGAAGACGGACATATGTAAGCGGAAAATTAAACGCAACAGGGTGGTCCAGCCTTGCCCTGTTGCGACATCTTCTCCTCGGGTGGCCCCAAAGACCCACCAAGCGATATGGCCTTGCCACAGGAGAAATCCAGACCCCGGTGACGTCCCTTCAATGCGGTAACAACTAACAAAAGTTTGCTGAATGTGTGCCACTCGCCGCAGAAGGCATAGCTCTTGCCTGGGTATCCAATGCTCACACCGACGCAACTATATGCGGATACAACCTCGAAAATGATGTTGAAAGTGGAAAACGCGACGGGCTGGGCTTTGTAATGGTCTGACTCGGCGATAGTTACAAGAAGGACCACGAAGGAAATTAACCAGATGTCGTGACTGAATTGGGTGCGAAGTTGTTGGCAGAAGAATTGGCTGCGGGCAAATCTTGAGGGACTTAAATCGATGGTTGAAGAAGGACATTTGGAGACGTCGAGTTCTTTATCGGAGATACTCATGGACCTCGCTTTGACTGCTTCTCTTCCGCTATTTAATGTCAGTCTAAATTTTTTGGCTAATAGGGTGAAATTACCATACCTGATGAGTGTTGATACCGGGAAGGCTGAAAGATACTAGAAGGAAACCGTTAGATACCCTATGCTATTCTGGTACGTTTGGGCTCTCACCATCATAAGGGCTAGAAGCGCGTTATTAGCATGTAATCTCATTATAGTGATTGATTGAAGCACATACCGTACAGAATAAGTAATGCCTGTGGCAGTCCATCAAATGCCACGACGGAGAAACCGCCGCCACGCACAGCTTTGTGAAGTTCAGTTAGCTAAATTGCAAAACAGCAGGCTGTAGGAACATACCTAAAGCCTGGAAGAGCCCGTCTAGGACTCGGTATTTGGCAGAAAGTGCCGCAATCTCTATGTTGTAGAGAGCAGAAAGCTCGAAAGCTCCCCACATGATGCCATTGAGCATTAAGACTGTGCCGAATAGAAACCATGTATGCCAAGAAGGATATAAATAGGCGCAAACCTACCAGTATAATCAGTCTCAGCTTTCTATGAATAGCCAGGAACAACTCACGTCTTGGGAATGGGCAAGAGTCAAATCGAAAACTCCTCGCCACGACTGCCAGGCTGGTTTCTCTGGGATAATTTTTCTAATAACCCAGATGGAAAGTCGAAGCAAGCAAGGAAACAGTGTATTTCCGGCGAGTATAAGGAAACCAGTGACAAGAAGCGGAGTAGCCCTGTTCAGGTCGGTTAACAAACGGTTCAATGATTATCAGCAAAGAATAAACCACCCACTCTCGCTGAAAGGGACCCATATTGGCACTGATGAGGGACATTCCGTTGTTGGAAAATGCAGATGTAGCAAGGAAAGCGCCTGTCCAGAAAGGGGAAACCCCATCTACTTGTGCAATATCTGGGCGACAATATCTCATCCAAAGCCCTAAGCATATAATGCCGAAGGAAAGAAAGGCGATGTAGTAGAGTACTACAAGTGCCGAGATCAATGAAAGTGCCTTGTACTCTGTCCATCCTGCCTCTCCACAATCGATTGGACTGCTCTTGCTCAGATCCTTTTTGATTTGTTGCATCATGCTCTTCAGTTTGCCGACCATGCGGAACAACCGGGTTTTGGCGTCACAGACGCCTGTTTTGTCACCTATGACAGTGATGGTAGTGACTCTTTGGCATTCATCCGACATATCCTGATGAGTGACCATGGTGTAGTCGTCGTCTTTCGATGATACATCATATTTGGACTTTTCAAGCGTCGAAATATCGGCTGGTACTTCTCCCACTGTCGCGTTTAGACTAGTGATTTTGACAGAGACGACACCATCCTTATCTTCAGAAAGCTGCTCTGGCTGTATCTGCACAATTGACGTGTGAGTAACCGTCTGATCACTGTTCTTTCTGCGTGCAACTTTCAAAAGAGAGCGGAGAGTTCGGGCGCGTAGGAAGGAGAGGATCCCGAGGATGAGAATAGCATGGCCGAAGATTAAAAGCGACAATAGGGTGCCTTGTTGTATACCATTAAGGGTAGCCAGGTCCAGCTGTAAAACACATCAACCATTGAATCCGGATCTCGAATGATCAGCTGTATAGACTTACCACGTTCAGCCCTGTACCTATCATAGCACTGAAGCTCATGAACAACGCGTCAGCATAGTGGAGATTATGGATCGGCGTCGCTGTAGTGTACAATATGACACTGCCGATCGCAGACATGAAGATGAAATATGCGTAATGCAGAGTCAGGGAGTCCAATCCTCGTAGAGAAGCCATGATCGGCATACTCAACTGGGAGTCGTCGTAAGCATAATGAGTGAGTCTAGGATAGGGATATGCAAATCAATATAAGATCCAGCAGCACAACACTACTCCCTGTTTGTGCAATAGGGCCTCGATCGCACGTGGTATACTACTTGGGCACCCTTCCTGTAAGGAATGCTGGCGCGGTATTTTCTGGCCATGGTCTGGCCCTCCCCTGGCATCTGCTTCTAGGAGATAATAGCTGGGCACATTACTTGTTGCATCAGCATCAGACACCGTCAATTTAGAAAATGAGGGTAACACAAATAAACGCAAGGCTTAATGGACTCTAAGGGACCGACCCGCTGGATTCTGCAGACGCAAGGCTCAAATATGTGGGCTTGAGCTATTCGGAATTCTCCGAAATTCAACGGTCTGGGCAGCTTCCGATTGACGACCACTATCTAGTCATGTTAACGCATGTCATATGTCAATTGGCTGTGGTAAATATCGGAAATATGTATAAACGGTCAGTTGCTGCAAAATGACTCGGACTCGATGAATATTTCTCCGTTTTTAGCCTCAATGCCCAGCCCTTATGGTCTTGTCATTCTTGGACTAATCTCTCGGAAGACGGGCTAATTAACCTGGCGGAATCCCTAGTTTCAATGGACTGTGTATCTGGGAGCAATACGCCCACCCCCTGCATATGAACTGTTTTGATATTGAAAGCTCGGTCCAACGAGCATGGTCATTCTTCTTCGACTAATAATATCAATTGGCCACAGATACACCTTAAATCAGCCCCTGTCATGATACCGTGGCTAATTGATAGCTCTGCATGTGCCCAATATGGCTGACGAAAGTGCACCGACAATTCGTGATATCAAACCTAGATTTTTCTAATTCATCTGACTCGAACATCCCCGAAGGATGTATTAACGAGCCGACCCACCAGCAATGAATACCCACAATTCTTATCGGACTGAAGAATGAACAGGTCATGCAGGAAGAAGCAGTGGCGTAGGTGGTTCCAGACTCCATCCCTTCAAGGGACACTGTGGAACTCTTCAGACTAGCTCGAGCATATTCCATCTATCAAATATAAAGATATCGGAGTCCTTATATCAGCGAAAGATGACATCGTTCTGCTAGTAATCCGTGGTACTTATATGGTCAAGCCACCCTAACAGCGAGTTAAGATAGACTGCCATATCCGTAAGGGCCGGTCTACATTCGTATATGACGATTAATTTACTGGCCCTTAATCGGATACATATTCTTGTACCGTACCGTCGCCGGTCTTTTCTATGGTGCTTCTGCGCTGATACTGCGAGGACTTCTAAATATTTTCCCCTGCCATCCCCTAATTAACGGAATGTCGCCCACCATGACTACATCAACCACTGTTACTGACTGGTCAATCACCAGGTGAAAAGAGAGAGCTTGGAAACCGTCGACGTTTGAGCAAAACAATGTTTCTTCATTCTAACAAGTCCCGAAAACATCGGGAGCATTTTGAATAGTTGAAAAAAGACACTAACCGAGGGTATTGGGTGGTCTCCTCGTGTCTTCCCAACGACCTACGACTGCGTGATGACCAAGACTTCTGCAGGCCAAGTGGGTTCCACAGGAAGGCTCACAGTCATCGAGGAGTTTTTATTCCCGGAAGATTGTGATATTTTGGGGTATGGAAAATCCCTAACCTGCGGTCTGCCAGACTGCAGCACCTCCCGTGGGGTAGGGATCTTACAAACATCTAAATTAATTGCTACCCCCTTTGATCATTATGGGCTGATAAAATTGAAGTGTTTTAACTCGTCGTACGTCCAGAAGTTGGGCTAATACCCCGGTTGCAACCCTAACTAGCCCAGTCCCGCACCCCATCAAAATATCTTTCGTTTTGAATCTCCCTTTTCTCCTCCCATAGTGAAATGAAAACCCTAACCTGCAGTCTACTAGCCTGCAGCACCCCTCGTGGGATAGGGTTGGACAAAGTTTCGTCTAATCACTATGTCACAATATTGAACGAGACACAATCAATTCCACGTTTGAGGCTCGGCAATTAGCTAAAATGACATTTTCCACCTTCAGTCCGGATCACCGAGTACTTTCAGTGCCCTAATATCTTGGCCTTTTTTTTTTTTTTTTTTTTTGGCAGCGTTCTTCCACGAAGTGTGAATGAACAGAACAGGGTTGGGTCTATGTAACGAAGACTCATTACGGGAAACAGGTTAAATGATCGTACTAGCAATGGCTCTTCGAATAGAGAACTTGGAATTGAATCGAGCGGTACATTACTCATGAAAGCCGAAGAACATAGAGATGGGTCTGGTGACACATCTTCCTCCCTCGTGCCAAACGCGTAAGTTACCCTTACAGAGACTTGCTTGAGTGCTAGGCCGAGGCTTGAATGGTAGTGTAGTCATACTCCTCCAATATTGCTAACGAGTGGATGCTTCCAAGAGTAAGAAATCAAGATAAACAAGAAAGACAGTAGTACATCGCTGGGATGTATGCTATGATCACATCAGAGAAGGACTGGCAAAGGGATATCCAAATGGGATAGGCAGCCGCCGACCCTGAACGCATACCTGAGCATGTCAGGTGAGGGTGGCCTCCTATGACTACTACAAGCTACCTGTACGTAGCAGAGCCTTCATAAAACAGTCCCTACGGCCCATGAGCAAGAACCCTGCTAGGAGGACAAACCTCGAGACTGTAGCACTCGGGTTGAACAGCAAGGGTACAGCGAGTGCCATCGAACGTTGTGCCAGGTGGGCAGCCCGGGTCTTCCTTGCGCTGGCAGGTATTGTTGACCAAAATCTGGCCAGGAGGACAGACCGGTGGGTTCTGATCAACACATTGACGGCCATCGAACCGAGTCCCCGGAGGGCAAGTGGGCGGCTGGGTGCTCACGCAGCTGGCACCATTAAATTGCGTACCTGGTGGGCAGCTGGGTCGGTTCTCGATCACACAGTCCTTGCCATCAAATGTTGACCCAGGCGGGCAGATGGGACTGTCGGCTGAGACACACTTGCTACCATCAAAGACGGTGCCGGAAGGGCAGGTTGGCGGTGCTTGATGGACACAGATCTTCCCGTTGAACACTAGACCTTGAGGACAGGAGGGTTGGTCGCTGTGAGTACAAGATGTACCATCAAAGGCGGTACCGGAGGGACAGCTGGGGCGTTGGCTGGAGGCACATCGTGTGCCGTCAAAGGTAGTGCCGGTAGGGCAAATAGGTTGCTGCTCCGACACACAACGGCTGCCATTGAATGTGAATCCAGTAGAGCAAGTTGGGCGCTGGCTGGTGACACAGTAGGTACCGTCAAAGACTGTACCAATAGGACACGAAGGTTGCTGAGGGGCAATGCAATCTTCACCGTTGAGCGTGGATCCGGGAGGGCAGCTGGGGTGGTGGGGGAAAACACAAACTCGATTAGAGAGGGTCGATCCAGGAGGACAGCTTGGACGTTGGGTACTCGCACAGATTCCGCCAGTGAGAGCAGTACTTGGTGGGCAAGTTGGAGGGGTGCTCGATATACAATGATCTCCGCTCAAAACGGTACCAGGAGGACAAGTAGGCTGAGACGAGTGAACGCAGAATGTCCCATCGAAGATCAGCCCAGGTGAGCAAGCTGGGGGATCGGATGTGACACAGTTCTTGCTGTTGAAAGTAGTACCAGGCGGGCAGAGAGGGTTGACAGATGTCACACATTGATCATCCTTCAATGTAGTGCCGACGGGGCAAGTGGGTTCGACCGTGGGCGTGAAGACACATTTTTGACCATCAAAGGCTGTCCCGGGAGGACAGGAGGAAGGATCGCTAGGTACCAGCGCACAGGTCGAGCCATCCCAAGTAAGCCCAGTGATACAGCAATGTCCGTGATGAGTCTGAGTATCCGCGGACAGCGACTGACCGGGAGGGCAAGTTGGGGTTTGCTGTGAGGCACACATTGAGCCGTCAAAGGTGGATCCGGGAGGGCAGCTGGGGTTCTGGGTCGAGCGACAGGTGTTGCCATCCAGAATTGCTCCGGGGGGACACTGAGCGGGAGTGTCTGAGCGACAAGCGCCGCCATCGAAGATAGTGCCAGGGGGGCAAGAGGGAGGCTGAGTGGACGTGCAAACATTGTTGCTGTACTGAAGGCCCGGTGGGCAGCTAGGAGGAGCCGTGGCGGCGCAGAGTCCGTTGACGAGCGTGGTACCAGGAGGACAAGTCGGTGGGTTAGTGTCGACGCAAGACGTGCCATCGAGGCTCATGTTGTTTGGGCAGCCAGGCTTCTGGGTAGAGACGCACTTCCCATTCTGAAGTTTGAAACCGGGAGAACAAGTCGCCGGTTGGTCAAGCACACACTTGTCGACATGGTAGGAGTACCCGGGCGGACAACCCGGAGTTCCATTTGCGGCACAGACTTTGCCATCATAATTCGAGCCAGGAGGGCAGGTTGGCGGAGAGGTCGAGATACAAATGTGCCCGTCAAACTTCAAACCCGGAGGGCAAGTGGGAGGAAGCGTGCTTACACAGATGTTGCCCTGGAGAACGGTTCCATCCGGGCAGACCACACTGTTAGGGAAGATACATTCGTTCCCAGAGAAGTAAGTTCCCCGAGGACAACATTTGACGTTCCCGTCTCCATCCTCAAGTGGGATGATGTCGTCAAGAGTGATAGGCTTATAGCTACTGGGATGGCTCCCTGCAGCGTTGGTATCATTCAGTGCTAGCGTTTTCAGACTGACAGTGTTGAGATGGGCCTCCAAAGGCATGCTGCTATCCTGGGCGACAACATGGACGGCGCTCAGGGCCAAGAAGAGAGCGTCCAATGTAAGACCCATTTTCGTTGCTTTTCGATGGCTGGGAGAATAGAAGAGTCTGCCAAACTGTGCTGATAGACGCTCTGGACGGTGCGAATAGCTTGGTTTTATGTCCCTCGCTAGCCTCCCATTTCCGTGATGTCCTCATCAACAGAACACGAGAAGACCAGTTTCAATCCACAGCTTTTGAGTCTTGCATGTAAGGAGGTTGTTCTCGTCTGGAGCATGGGCGGTATTCTACCTCATGTATACAGGTAATACGCTCGGCATGCATTTTTGCGGGAAAACTATGGGCAAAAGTATGGGCTGGGGTGGATCAACATTGGTATCCTGCAGCATCATGTCTCTTTCCCAAACCCTGAGATCCACTGAAACCACCGTGTCGGAAGACTTATTGCAGAGAGCTGAATCTGTTGCAACGCTGGCTGTCACTAGCGAAGTTAGTGCATGCTTGGATTCCCCGCGCTATGTGGACTGCCGTGATAGATCGACTGCCAGCGAGGTACTGAAGCGTGGCCTAACTTCTTTTAGTAGGAGATAACTTTCGGTTATTCCCAGCGGGCCGGGCCTTGAGTTTGTTCAGCAGGGGTTCCCCAGGACTGAGTCCACTATTTACTAAGCTAAGCCAGTAAGATGGTGTATTCAGACATAGGTTCTACGTGTTAATTGTGATATGTCCGATGCTCTAAAATGGCGGCGAAATTTCCTTGAGTGCGAAGACATGCGGCTAATTTATCCTCTTCTTCAGCTCCACGACACCATGGGTTGCTAAGAGAAAAGCTTAATCATGCCGCTGTTCTAATGTCTCCCATAATGAAATAATTCCATTGGCGCGTTTTCTAAGACAGCCGCTAATCGTGATAATAGAACTATAATGGGTGATTCATTTTCTCAAATCCCAGGAACAATGATAAGCACAAAGTACGGCCGGGATCCTGTCACAATGCAAATCAAATGTCTGTAGATACGACATCGAGGACAGAGGAGATGTTCGTAGGTACTATCAAGATTCAAGGGAGAAGAAGGTTTTAGAGAAGATTCGGGGCACAGGTGGTATGTGAGGTCATATTGCCTGCAGATCTGGGGCTGTAGTACCTACTGCACGATGTGTGATTGTAAATTTCTTTTTTCAGCATGGCACTGAATTCGATAGCTGTATTAAGGCCGTTCCACTGGCGTATTTGGCCAGAGTAAACTACAGATCATGTGTGATACCTCAAGGCGAGAACAAGTGAGTAATTGCATTTCAAAATGAATTATAAAAACCGACTACTCCTTCGAATGTGGAGTATCATCAACCAAAACTCCTTCATCTATTCCTACGCCACAATGGCTATCTTCAAATTCATTCCTGTTGCACTCGCGGCCACTCTCTCTACGGCTGTGGCACAATCTTTGCTTCCCAATGATGCTTTCAGCACATGCCCTACCTTTAATAACAAACCCGCCACCATCAACGGGGGCGTCGTTCAGGTCTCCTGCGACGTCTGGTACAGCGGCTACAGTCCTGCTCCCTCTGCGGCTACGAGCCTCCGGCAATGTGCCGAGGACTGTTACGCATCGAGCACTTGCCAGGGAAGCATTTGGTTCGACGCAGCCGCAAAATGCTATACCGCTAGTCAACTTATTGGAGCTCCCAACCCAGCTATCGGGTGGATTACACTGCGTCCCGACCGCGGTGCTACTCCTCCTACTAGCAACTGCGATGCCGTGAATCAGCAACTGCAGCAATCCCAGAACGCCTTGCAGCAATGTCAGACCGGTGCTGCGACAACCTCTCAGCAGCTACAGCAATGCCAATCTTCTGCTGCGGCCAATACTCAGCAGTTGCAGCAAACCCAGAACGCTCTACAGCAGTGCCAAACAACAGCTGCGGCCGGTGCTCAGATTCCTTCGTTCAACGACTGCAATTCAGGCGGAAATGGACAGGTCGTTACAATTGGGAACAGGTCCATGAGGCAAGTGTGCAATGTGTTTATGGCCAAGGCTCACATGAATCTGTTGAGAGTCGTGCATCCAGGCCTAACCCGACCAGAGTGTGCCATGCTCTGCGCTCTTAATACCAGCTGCCGCAGTGCTTACTTCGTGGGACATACATCGACTGTCAACGAATGCCAGCTTCAAAACGACAACATAGAGTCTCGGGTGACTTACAGTAACTCACCCGACGTGGTATACATCCCAGTCTAGACTTCACTGCTTCATAGTCTCGTGGTCGGGCCGTTAGCACCTTAGGCATGGATTCCCAGTTGAGTCAAAAGCCAGGGAGCTCGCAACTTATATCCTGTTTTCTCTTAAGAGCCAGTGGTATGTCTTGAGCCACGTTTTCAGATATCGGCAGACAATCTTTCTTTAATTTTCGGGATTCGCGACGATTTTCACTCTATGGTAGCTATCGCGAACATTACTATATATTTTGTTCACCTTTCACTCCTTTAGCTACATAACACATGGTGAATCAAAGCTTCATTATACAGTCTTTTCCAATTCAGGTCCAGTAGAAGTTGGAGTGTCGTGTGACCCAGTTCCTCCAGGACAAAATGGCTCTTCTCTACCTTCTGCTTCCCTTCCTCTCTTTCCCCAGCAGTTCTTAGCTTAGTCAATACATATCGGGTGGTTGAAGTGGCCTGCTCGTTTAGGGCTCCAAATACATTACAACACTCGAATGACCATCTTACAAATTTCTAAATGGGGGTTCAATTGCTATCACTTGATTGGCTAGCATCGCTCATTCAAATAACTTCGTAATTCCAGGGTATCACATTGCGCCATCAAAGAAGAAAAAGCCCACCAGAAAACAAATCACAGGGCGGAATCACTCTCATCCTCACTTTTCGGGATTGTACGCAGTGGAGCGAGTCCCGGACCAAACACTTCCTCCACATCATCAGAAGTCTCTTCCTCAGGAGCACTGCCGATAGCAGAGCTAACCAGCTTGCTAGTCTGAGCCACCTGCGCAAGACCAGTCTTCGCCTTCATCGAGCCGGGCTTCTTGTTCTTGGCACCCTTGGGACGACCAACGCTGCCACTGGTGGGAGGAATGCCAGCGCGCTTGACCAATGCGGGAGTGACCTCTCCACCCAAAACCCTGAAGATGGCCCTCCATTTGGCAGGGGTTTCGCGCTGGGGAGCAGTCATGTCGCATTCTAAGCCGTTGATCTCGACTATGCCCAGTGTTTCAATGCGGCTATCGCCCCAGAACCAGGTGTTGCCTTTTGGCATGCGTGTGTCGACGCTCTCGGAGAAGTTGCGGCCGTGCATGACGCCGCCGAGGTCGTATCCGAATTCGCGTCTGTTGAACATCAGGTCGGCTGCGAGTGGCTCGTAGCAGCGGCCGAGGATCATGTGCTGGCTGATGCTGGCGGACTTGTCCTTTCCGATGGCGACGTGATACCAGGGGCCATAGGAGGACATGCCGACTTGGCGGAAGGTTGCGGTTGCTTCTTCGTTGGTCATTGGTTTGAGAGGAAATTGACTGAAGGGCTCGCCGTTCTTGCCTCGGTTTGGGTTGGTGGTGTAAATTTGGCCGGTGATGAGCACGGAGTACTTCTTGGCAAGATTGGGAGAGGTTCGATCTTCGATGCAGTCACTAAGAACGAGGCTGATCTTGTCAATGACCATAACATCGTTGATTTGAGCGGCCTTGCCATCCAGCGTATCGTCAAAGCTGTAGCCTCGAGGCTTGAGGCGAACGGTATCGTGTACAGCGATTAGCTCGGCACCAATCCAGATTCCCTTGCAGCTGATTTTCATGTTGGGCCAGGTGCCCTTGACATGAACCTTGTGCACCACGCTCCATGAGGACATGACGGTCAGGGCATTTTCAATTGAAGGATGTAGCTCATCGCGGGATTGACCATCCAGATAGAGCTGCCAGGTGTTAAATGGCTTAACACATCGAAGTGGAAGGTATCTGGATTGAACTGAATATGACTTGTCTAGGCCAACGGGATCTGGGAGGAGCTCCACGCGAAATCCGTGGTCACTCAGTTCCTCGGTGGTGTAGGAGTTCTCAGCAATCTCCAGCATGTGAACTTCGGTCTCAGGAGCTTGAGTCACCACACCGGCACGCCAGTTAGGCACATGCCAGCGGCCGTAACTGTCGCGGATTTCAATGTGGCCATTCTCAGGATTGCGCAGCAGGCTTGAGTTATCCTCCATGTCCCAAACACAAAGTACGAGCTCGCCACAGCGAGGGACGAAGGATGGGTCAAGAACAAGCTTGTTGAAATAGTCAGATAGCAATGCGTCGGACAGAGCCCAGTCAAAGTTGGTAGGTTGCTTATTGGGTTCATCGATGGTACCCTTGGCCTTCAACTTGAGTATGTACTCCCGCCAGTAATCAGGGTTCTTGTCATCATTGGGCCGACCAGGGCCGCGAACTACTTCGATGGTTTAGTGAATGATCAGTGTGCGAGCCATGGATATCAGAGCATAAACACCCACCCGGTCGAACTGTAGTCGGTTTGGCACCTCCCATCTTACTGCAGGGTTTGCACTCGCACTCACTCAGCTTGCCCTGAGCCATGGCAAGGAAGTGAGTGAAGAAGGTCGCCTGGGACTGGAAGTACTGTCCGCTGGGATGTCCGTAGAGGAAAGGGTCACGCTGGACGTGAAATCGTTAGCTAGCGGATGCATGGAGGTGCAAGCAAGCGGACTCACGATCAAGGGATTGGTGCCGCGCGGTCTGTCAAAGAGGCAATAGCCTTCAGGTAACTCTGAGATAGTGTATTCGTCGCCTGTGCATGTCGTTTGTCAGTCCAGCTCGGTAAAGCGACAGAAGCGCGTTGCACGAATGCATCTGGTCTAGGTGCTCATATCACAGACCGCGTTAGGGAAGACAAAACGCTGGGATAGGCTTACCTTCCACATAGCTACCCTGAGACTTGAGCCAATTCTCTGCGAGCAGCTGTCTCCAGCGAGAATCGTCGCGTGGCTTGTACGGGAAAGCGGGCCAAGTATTGACGTCCCCATCGCTTTGGAAGTCGCCCATGGAAATGACAACCACATTGGAGTCATCTTCATCACTGTCAGAGCCCTTCATGATGCAAGTCTGAAGCAGCAAGGCCCAGGGTAAACAAGAGACAAAAAGAGGGACTAATCGGACAGAAAACGCGAGGCTTATCGATAAGTTAATTGCCGGCATTTGAGGGCGGCGTCGAGGTATGCATCAGGCGGTGTGCACTCGTATTTAGTATTTGCAGCTTCTCTATAAATGCAAATCTATCTAGGTCAATATCATGCATTGCAGCACAAAACCCAAGGTAGAAAATCCCGTGCTATCCAGCATTATGTAGAAAGTTTCGTTATCTATGCTCACGGTGTAGATGTACACTCAATTGGCAGTCCCCTCAACAACCTCCTCATAACCAGAATGTTCTTCTTCCTGATAAGGAGGAGCAGCAATTTCGCCTTCGCCACCGCTAGACCAAACCTTCTGAAGCTCATTATTGATATCATCACGACGCTGCTTCCACTCATCAACCTTATCCAAACGCTTCCGAAGCTCCTGCAATTCTTTCTCAACACCCAACTTCTCCTTCTCCGTCCCAATCCTCTCAAACTCCCAGGCCTCCCCTTCACCACCGAGCCCAAGAGTTAAGTTGTAAGTATGATACTTCTTCAACGACGCCCGCGTCGAGATGGTGATCAGTGTAATACCGCGCTCCTTCGCTCGCTCGTATAGCAAGCCCTCGACATCAGAGGAAACGGCTGACGTACCCTCATCCATGAATGCATATCGTGGCTCGTGGTAAAAGAGCCGGGCCATGCCCATGCGCTGCTTTTCTCCGCCGCTGAGCACGTCTTTCCATTCTTTGCGCGCATCCCAGCCGCCTTCGCGTTGTGGTAGGTAGCCCAGATGGGCGTCGTCGAGGATCTTCTGTAGTGCTGCGTCCGACTCGCCTGCTTCGCGCATGTCGATCTCGGTGTGCGGGTAGATTACTTGGTCGCGTAGTGTGCCGACGCTGAGGTATGGTCGTTGAGGGAGGAACATTATGCCGTCTAGGCCGAACCCTCGGGGGCGGCTGACTAGCCCGCGGTACACGGGCCATAGGCCTGCTACGATGCGTGGGATAGCGGATTTACCGACGCCGTTCGGGCCGGAGATTAGGAGGTGGTCGCCTGAGTGGACGATGAAGGAGAGGGACTCGATTAGTTCATCGCCGCCCATTGGGTAGAGGGAGGGTGCGACGATTGGGACCTGCTCTAGGCGGACCCCATCGAAGCCGTTGTGGGTTGTGCCTTGTGAATCGGCAAGGGAATATAGTTCAGGGTGCGAGCCGCGTGGTGTGTAGTAAGCGTCGGCGTGGACTCTGTGTAGGGTGGCGATGAGGCCGTAGACACGGGATGTGTAGCCGGCCAGCTCTGAGATGTCCTTGATACTGTACATCATGCGGCCTCCGGCGTCGGCCAGGGAAAGCATAAGACGCTTGTTGGTGATGAAGTCCTTCATGCGGCCACGCTCGCGGCCGACGCCTTCCGGTGCATCGGCTAGCTCCGTTGCACCTCCAGTACCACCCCAGGCCGGGAGGAAAACGGGTAAGGAAGTCACCAGGTAACCAAACGCAGACCATGAGTACTTGAGGATCATGTCTTCCAGCATGTTGTAGCGAATCTTGAGACTGTAAATTCCCTCCATCCATCGCTGCAAGTCCTTGAAGCTTCTGACCAAGAAGACACGCTCAATATCAGCTCCCCCATAGAACGAAATTTCCTCAGCATTTGCTAGAAGTCTGGAGTGCAGGCCACGGAAGTCACCTTCCTTCTTGCCCTCTACTGCCTTGAGCTTTCCAAAAGGCGGTGATAGCTTCCGGAGTACCACGGCTGTGCTGAAGTATCCAGCCAGAATACCGCTCAAGGCCAAAGGGCCCAGTGAGCGGTACAGTTGGTAGTTGAATACAAAGAGATCCACCAAGGGCTTGCCCATTGAGGAGTACAATGAAGCGGCAGCTGAGCAGAACAGTGTGAGATCTTGTGTGATGAATTGATCGGGACCTTGACCGATCCCACCGTCCAGGTTCATCAATTTGTAGTAGTTGTTATTGTCAGTTAGGTACAGGTCGTGGATATACCTTGTCAGTCGAGTGCGGAAGGCGATGGACACCTTTGACTGGAGGAACTTGATCATGGCGTTTGTGTATGAAGCAAGTGTTCCAATTCCACACCATTTAACGATACCCCAAAGGAAAGCTTTCCCCTTGCCGGCGACAAGGTCTCTCACAATCTCACCATCGAGCCGTGCAATCAACAAGGAGAGATATGTTCGCATCAGAAGAAATAGCCCATGACTCATCAGCAGCCCGGTTTCTTTGCTTCCCCATCTTGGTACCATGATACTCCCAAGACTCAAAAACTGATGCAGGAATGCCAGGTTCAACCCTGGTTTCGTTGTCGGCGGGGGTATCTGACTCGTCGAACCGTCATCCTTGCTACGGGCAGATGCCGGGGGATTGAGGAATAGACGTCGGTGGGCGTCGAATGTGGTTGGTTTAGTGGGATGAATCAAGACCTTGGAGGTCATGGTGCCCTTGTATGGCACATAGATCGTACGGGAGCCATCTTTACCGCGGATACCCGAGTTCCGGCGCAGAAGCCGGCGACCCTGAGCTCGTTCCTTTGCTCGCCCTCGCAGCCATTTGTAGCCTCCATACCCTGAGCTGATGATCGAGAGCAGCAGGGCTATTGTAGCAATGAGGCGCGTTGTCTGGGATGTGCGGCGGAGCTTGGAGCGTACTAAATCGGAGTAATGTTGATACAGCGCCAGAAGGGGATCTTCTGGACGCCGAAGTGTTGACTGGACGGCCATATTCACCCCAGGAAGTGACCTCGCGAGTTGAGCGATACTCCCTAGACTGGACTGGCGGCCATGAAGATGTGAAAGGGAATGCAAACAATGGGGAATGTGAAGTTGGGGGCATACATCATTGCATGTGAACCTCGGATGCGGAGAACCTCACGTGGGGAAGCTGACTGTACACCCAGCCCTGTTCAAGAGGGAAGCAGGCAACTTATGCAACTTGTTAAATATAGATGAAGGGACCATGCGCAAACTAGCACCTCACGTGGGGATATCCTTAGATGTGATGTTACAATGGTATGACTCGTTGTCACAACTAGGAAACAGGGAGTAATTATCATAACAAAGTATAGGTAGTATCGCCTATTGCCTAGATGGAACAATGGCAACAATAACAGTAACAGTAACAGCCAACAGCCAACAGCCAACAGCCAACAATCAGTGAACCAACTATAACACACTTTGTACTGTCTTGCACGGGTAAATTCCGAGTAGAAACAGACCAAAGGCCATAGCTCCATAGAAGAAAAAGGGGCATGGAAATTATCCGATCGTATTTGATTTGGTCCAGACCCTAAACCTGCGTAGCCGCTGAGGGCTTGAGTAGCGTGTGAAAAGGGCCAGTTAGCGTCAAAAAAAGGAATTAACAAGACTCGAGTCACTTTCCCCCGTTTCTCACACCGTACACGTGACATCCCCGACTCCTCTCTCCTCTTCTATCCCTATTGACTGCCTGCATCTTGCTTCCCCCTGCTTTTTGCCTGCTTATTGCAACATAGTGGTGTTGGCTTACGGCCAAAGGCGGTGCCACTTCTTTCCCCAGGGCGCTTGCTTATCCAGGCGTGTTAACAACCCCCATAGCCGCGCTCTACCTTTGTGAGGGTTCCGGCATTGCTTCAGGCCTTTTGAATTGCTCGTCACTTTGACTCTGCTTTTTGCTCATTTGTGTCGGTAACCCTGACACAGCCATCCTCAATGCGTGGAGAGAGCACGGGGCGAGATTTCTCACCCTCAGCTCCGGAGTCCACTGACACAGCAACCATGGCCACTGACAATCCCGGCCCAGCCAGTAAGTGATTTGCGCATGCGATTCATTAGATGTTTAGAGGGTAATAATGACTGACACTTTTCGCCCCATAGACCCTGAGTTCTCGGAGCAGGCTCGGACCACCGATGCGACCGAGACGCAGGACGCAACTGCCGTCGCACCCTCTGACGCAGCCCCGTCCGCTGCAACTTCCAGTGCTCCGGCTGTCGAGGCCGCAGAGACACCCAAGAGACGTCTTTTGTCGATCCCGATCCCCTCGCGACGATCCTCGAAAACCAATAAACAAATTCCCCCGGAGAAGACCGAAGAAGCGCAGGATGAGCCTACTCGCAGAAGCTCAAAAGTGAGCATTCTGCGGGCGAAGAGAGATCCAAGCCGGGCAAGCAGTCGTCGGTCACGCCGGACTCAGGACGTGGCGAACGGAGAGGAAAGCAAAGGGGCCGCTGCGCCCGAAAGCACTCCAAAGCTCCAGCCCAAGAAGAGCCCATCCAAGCTTCTGGCGTTCCTGGGCTGCTGCTCTTCGGCGGATGTTGATACCGACGACACGACTGTGCCTCCAAAGAAAACGAACAGGCAGCAACCGGCCTCGAACCGGCTTCCCACCCCAGACAAGGCGGACGCTCACACCGGTGACTCCAGCACTGCAGAATCAAGGGAGCCATATTTCGACGAGAAGGCGCACTCGACAGTCAGCGCGGACCAGCCGGGCGAAGAAGAGCGCAACGTCCATGCGAACGCGACTGGCGCGCAGAGCGAGGGTCCTTCTGCGGCTGTCCAATCTGAGGCTTCTGGCCAGAACAGCGAACCTGAAGTGTCTGCACCTGTTGAGTCTGCAGGTGCAAATGGATCAGTAGATGAAAGTAAGCCGGAAGAGTCCACTCAGGATCTGGAGACGCAAACAAAATCCATTGAGGAGCCTGCTCCTTCAACCGCCCCCACGAAATCTCTCGTCGACGATGATCAACCAGAGCCCGTCAACCAAGCGGACATAGTGACACAAGCCCCGATGGTGCTGCCTCCTCCCCCGCCAGTTCCTGCTCCTCCTGCTCGGGCTGTCTCAGAAGATGGGATACGTCCGTTGCTCCCTGCGCCTCTACCTCACCTCAGCGGCCGAAAGTGTCTTGTTCTGGATCTAGATGAAACGCTTGTTCATAGTAGCTTCAAGGTAAGCATCCGCGTATTTGACATTCCAGGGTACTTCCGCTAACCCAACTACCAGGTTCTCGAGCGTGCCGACTTCACTATTCCTGTGGAAATTGAAGGACAATACCACAACATCTATGTCATCAAGCGGCCAGGCGTGGATCAATTTATGAAGCGTGTTGGCGAGCTGTACGAAGTAGTGGTCTTCACGGCCTCAGTTTCAAAGGTAAGACCATCATCTCCTGTCTTGAAGCCCATAATAACAATGTATAGTATGGTGATCCTTTGCTGGACCAACTGGATATTCACAACGTGGTTCACCACCGCCTATTCCGAGAGAGTTGCTACAACCACCAAGGAAATTATGTCAAGGTGAGTTCCTTCCCCCCTCAAGACTGACCACATCTAACAACCATCAGGATCTTTCACAAGTCGGTCGTGACTTGAAGGAGACGATCATCATTGACAACTCCCCCACCTCCTACATCTTCCATCCTGAGCACGCGATTCCCATCAGTAGCTGGTTCTCTGACGCTCACGACAACGAGTTGCTTGACCTTATCCCGGTCCTCGAGGACCTTGCCGGGACGCAAGTCCAAGATGTCAGCATGGTCCTGGACTGTACCTTGTAAATTCCTCGGATCTTTCTTACGCCTGAGATTCCCATTTTGAGCGAGTTGTTTTCTTTTCTGCGCGAGAAAAGCCCTTCCTTTTGCATTCCCCTCCACTGCCATTGACGGGTAGTCACCCTGTTCTCCTACTGCCGATTTGATTCCCCTCTCGACGATGGCCATCCCCGATGGAACTGGTATCCTCCTGGGTCACGGCTCGTCTGCATCTGCTGTCGTTGGGTAGCCACATGGACCTGACCATCGACCATTTGCATTGCGATTTGTTTTATCTGACCACGCTCCGAGCGAGCTTCATTCCCCATTGTTCTTTCCTTGTGCCTATCCCACCTCATTCATGCCCTGATCTTTCCTTGTCTTTGTATCCCCTTCCAACAAGTCCGCTTTTCATGCATTCCGCAGGCGTCTCTTGGTTCTCATGTCCTCGCTGTATCCCCCCTATGTTCCCCTTCTTTTTCTTCCCATTTCTGTCTCGCTACACAGCCCTATTGGCTTGATCTCAGCTCAATACACGAGCGTGCATTCCGTGTTGAGTCTCCTGCCATCCCCCTAGTCAGCAGTGTCTAATAACCCCTTTACTCTGCCGTTTGAGTTTTGTGTACATGTCCCGACGTACATAGATGTAGTCGGAAGAGTAGAGCAAATTGTGTTAGAGTAGAAATGAATTTTATCTCGGACCATCCCGCATTGAGCACTGCCGCATTGAGCGATGATGTAGTCAAAAAGGTTTCAGTTCCTGAACCCCAGTAACCGTGATAAGTCATCTTAGTCACTTCACTTCCAACTTTCTTCAGTTCGCAGTTGCGACGATCTCCCCGAAGCAAAAAGCTCCCCGCACTCCGACCGCCCAACTGCGAACATCCCACTTCCACCATGAAGAATAAAGAAGGCTGGGACGGAAAAATGAGGGTCGAACCCAAGGCTGTTATCACGAATCCTGAGGCCCTGGAGGACTCTGATTACTCGGATCCCGAAGCACCTCCAGTGGACGAGATCCAGGCTGATGAAGGTATCGTTCCCCGAAAAATTGCTCGCTCGGCGCGCAACCACGATCGCTGGCGAACCGATGGATTAACAGCTTCCCAGATCTCTTGGCCGACGAAGACCCGAACTCGGAGGTTAGTACCGCATTGAACCGAGCTGTTCCTGTCCTGCTGCTCGACTGCACAAGACCAAGACCACGACCTGATTGCTAATCGCATTCCGCCGCAGGATATCGACCTCGTTCACTGCAAAATCCAGTCAATCCCCGCACTAAAACTGGAACGTTTCCCTAAACTTCAGGTAACGCACCCTTATCGACCGCGGGACTTCGTCCCAGACAGCGAAATGAACCTGTGGCGCTATCCTCGCCCGGCGCACGACGGGCGCGTGCCATACCAAGGAGATTCAAGATTTGAGCCGGTGGGCTAATAAATGGGACTTTCTATAGAGACTATGCATGCGCCAAAACCAAATAACACGCATCGAATTTCCGTCCAACGTCGCCGCCAGCTTGACCGAACTCGACCTCTACGATAACCTCATTTCGCATCTCAAGGGTCTGGACGAGTTTCATGATCTGACGAGCTTGGATTTGAGCTTTAATAAGATCAAGCATATTAAGAATATCTCGCATCTCAAAAAATTGACGGAGATTTTCTTTGTGCAGAATAAGATTGCGAGGATTGAGGGTTTGGAGGGTTTAACTAGGATTACGAATTTGGAGTTGGGTGGGAATAAGATTCGAGTAAGTACTTGTACTCTTTCTATGATTCAGGCAAGATGATATGGGGAATACTGACTTGTCTTGCGTTTAGGAACTTGAGAACTTGGAAACTTTGACGGCTCTGACACAACTCTGGGTTGGAAAGAATAAGATTGTCGAGATGAAGGTATGTCGTTGAATCTCTCGTACTAAATACGACACCCCCAAGAACAAGACAAGAACAAGAACTATATACTGACCACCCCTCAGAACCTAGAGTCCCTTTCCAACCTCAAAATCATCTCCATCCAATCCAACCGCCTCACAAAAATCACTGGCCTCTCCTCCCTCAAGAACCTCGAAGAGCTATACCTCTCCCACAACGCCATAACCGACCTATCAGGCCTGGAACAAAACGAGAACCTGCGCGTCCTGGACTTCTCCAACAACCAAGTCTCGCACTTGGAACACCTCTCCACGCTAAAGAACCTCGAGGAGCTATGGGGCTCCAATAACCAGCTTGCTAGCTTTGAGGAGGTCGAGCGTGAGCTAAAGGATAAGGAGAATCTTGAGACTGTTTACTTTGAGGGAAATCCGTTGCAACTGAAGGGGCCGGCTGTTTATCGGAATAAGGTGCGCTTGGCGTTGCCTCAGATAAAGCAGATTGATGCTAGTAAGTTGGTCTTTTTCTTTATTCTTTTGGCTGGGGTGTTTTGCTAACTCAAGATTTTGTAGCTTTTGTCAAGGTCTGAGTTTTATATCCTCGTGATGTATTGACTTCTTGTTATATTCTTGACCTGTCTTGTCTTGTCTTCTTGACCTTGACGAACGGTTCTGATATCCTCCGTTCATGATCCAGCGAGTGGATCACATCTTGAAATGAGAAATGAATCTTAGAACGAATTCTTAAAGGGCGTATGTAGTATATGTTGCAAAGAGGTGTCAAGAGCTTCCATGTATGGGTGTTTGCTTAGGCTTCTCTGCATTTGCTAAGACGAATACTCGGGGCTTACATGCCGCGAAGCTGGTGATATCGTCTTGGAAATGGCGGCCACGAATATACCGGACTGAACAGTCTGCTATTCCGAGACGACTCACGCCGTTTGGATCTGCTCCTGCGGCCAAGAGAAGATGGACGTTGTGTGGCAACTGAGCGTTGGTGGCAGATATGATAGGCGATAGAAATGAAGGCACTGGCATCTTGCGCATGTAGCCATATAGCTCACTGCAATCCGCCCTGGATTGAGTCCCCGTGAATCTGTTTCAGTCTCAACAGACTAGAAAAAGCGAGGAGGGGAGAGAAGAATGTATCATCCCAGGACTCGCAGAGTCCATATCTATTGCTCAATAGCCAAGCAAAGAAACGCCTCATTGAAACTCCCCATATTCCTCATACTCCTTCCTCTTCTCAGTCGAATCCCCAGAAGCCCTCTGGTCCTCTTGTTCCTTCAAACCCTCCTTCCAAAGATCCATCAAACTCATCGCTCCCATCCACCGATTCTCCTCCTGAATATTCTCCTTAACCCCATTGCCTATATGATACTTCTTACTCGGCAAACAATCCGCCAACTCCTTCACGGGAATCCCTTCTCTGACCAAATCCTTGTACATCGGACTCGTCTTGTGCGTATTGTATGTTGTGTAGAAGGGGTTGCGACTGATATTGGACGGGTGGTTGTGGCGCGAAGATTGAATTTCGATTATTATTGAGGGGGGGTCGTCTGGAGAGATTTTTGAGCCGGTTTTGAGTATGACGTTTTTATTTGAGTGCGGGACTGGGGCTGAGCCCGGTGGTAGTGGGATTGTTACGGGCGATGAGTCGATTGCGCGCTGTGCTGCGTCGGCGTTTTCGAAGATTGCTAGCATTGGTCGGTGGCGGTTTGGGGAGTCATTTGTTGTATCGTACTGTATAAGCCTGAGGGTTAGTTTGGGCTCGGTGGTTTGCGCTGTCTGGGATTTGCATTGGAGTGTACCTTGAGGTTTCGGTATGACACGACTTCGCCGTGCTTCTGGAGGGCCTTGAGGACTAATTTGCTTTCTGCTATATTCCTTGGCGTGGGCCAGGTTGTTATGTGTACTTGCGATGCTAACCGCGCCGCGGCTGAAGCTGAAGAGGGCATTGTGTTGGAGATTTGAGGATTGGATGTTGGAGAGAGCGGAGGTTGGAGAAAAATGACCGGAGATCGGCAAGTCTTGGCGCTCAACGGTATAGATCGGACATTTCATGGATTGATTCTACGTTTATTACAGATGGAAGATGAAAGAAGCTCTAAACTATTTTTATTCATTTATGCCATCAAAATCGTAATCCCCGTCCTTCCTTTGGACACGGGATATACTCCGCCCCTAAACAGCCAAGGCTTAGAAAATGGGAATGTTGAGACCATACTAGAAAGCCAGTCAGTAAAGAACACAAATGATAACCAGAATACAAACTTACAGCCACGGGGTCGTTGAACCGAAGACCCTTGTCAAGAGCACTAATAGCCTCAAGCTCAGCACCCTCAAGATCAAAGTCGGTAACCTGCAAGTTCTGCGCAAGACGAGTAGGATCATTACTCTTAGGAATAACAGCAATATTGCGCTGCGTAGCCCAACGCAACAACACCTGAGCCGGAGTCCGACCATGCTTCTCGGAAATGCCCTTGATAGTAGCATGCTCAAACAGCAACGGCGTATCCTGCGCATGCTTAAGATTCAACTCAAGGAAACTCAACGGCCCAAACGAAGAATAAGCAGTAACAGCAAGACCCTCACCCTGCGCGTAATCCACCAACCGAGTCTGCGTCAGGTAAGGGTGGTGCTCGATCTGCAGGGTCGCAGGCCGAACACGCGCATAGCGCAGCAGATCCATCAGCAGCTGCGCGCTGAAGTTGCTCACGCCAATGCTGCGGGCGAGCTTCTTGTCGACCAGCGACTCCATCGCCGCCCACGTCTCGTGGATGGGCGCGTTGGCCAGCTCGACCTTGCCATCGGCTGTTGTCCAGCTGGGCGGGTAGCGCACGCTGGGGTCCAGGTACTTCAGTGCGATTGGGAAGTGCACGATGTACAGGTCGAAGTAGTCGACGCCCCAGTCGGCCAGTTGCTTGCGGCAGATTGGCTCGACTTTGTCGCCTTCGTGGAAGCTGTTCCAGAGTTTGGAGACGATGAAGAGTTCTTCACGCTTGACGAGGCCATCTTTGATGGCGCGGGCTACGCCCTGTCCGCATTCGACTTCGTTGCCGTAGTCTGGAGCTGTTGTTAGTTACTTTTTCTTCTTTCGCTGCGTGGTTTAGGCTTGGGGGTTGTACCGCAGGCGCCGTCGAAGAGACGGTAGCCGGCCTTGATGGCGTTGTAGACTTGGTCGGCGCAGGTGTCATTGTTGACTTTCCAGAGACCGAAGCCCACGAGGGGCATCTCGTAGCCGTTGTTCAGCTTGACGGTAGGGGCAACCATTGTGAATGTGTAGATTCTAACCTCGTATTAGTGGCGAGTCCGTGCAAAGAAATGGAATTGTGACTGACTTGAGGGGTATATTTTGGAAAGAAGAGTCCGCGGGGGACAGGCTACTATATTTAATTTAAGCCACAATTCAGTAAAATGTACAAGTCCAGGCTAAATGGCCGAATATAGTCCCAATAGCCTCTTTGCCAGGCCCCACTGGTATCGCGGCTAAACACGGCGCCTCACTTTAGCCGGCAAACATACAATTATGCCAGAGGAAGAATACTAGGGAAATAGTCCGAAATAAATATATTGGTCAAATCCTTTCAACTCCCAACTCCCAACTCCCCCTACTCCAGTGCTTCGCCACAAACAAGACCACAAAAAGCAGACAAGATATAAAGTCACAGAGATAGGATCACAGACCGCTGCCAGAATGATTATCATTACCACTAAATATTTTGTAAAAGGTTTCATTATACCGTATCCACTGTAGCATTATCACCATAGCCATTCGCATGATCGGGGCCTGCCCCATGCATGTTGGGACCATTGGACATGCGCCCGACGAACTTATCCATCAAGTCTTCAGACGGCAGAAGCTGGTCAAAGTGATGAGATTGCTGCGGCTCCCGGGAGACTGACGCGTGGTGCTCTGGCTGGAAGGGGAGATGGTGATAGCTGCCAGTGCCGACGTCGCCGGGAATAGAGGCGGAGTGCGTGCCCCACGGCGCCTGGCCGTGGCTCAGGTCGTCGAGGGACTGTGGGTTGGATCCGAAGAAGCCGTTGAGCACGCTGTTGCTGTCGTGCACGTTCACGCTGTGCTGTTGTGATGGCACGTAGTGGGAGGCGTCGTGGCCCATTGTGTAGCCCATGCTTGGATGGGAGAGGGGGAGGTCGTGCACGTTTAGCATGACTGGTGCCCCGCTGGAAGAGTGCAGGCTTGTTGATGGGGCTGTCTCCGGTGCAAGGCTTGTTGAAAAGGAATCTAGCACGGAGGTGACGGCTGTTTTGTCGTTGAGGCTGTCTTCGGGCTTGGTGATGGATGTCATAAAGTCGAGATTGCCCGACGAATTAAATAGATTAGCCACGTTGTCGTGAGATGAGGGATACATGGGCCATTGAGTTTGAGTCTGGCCCTGGTGATGGATGAGGTCCTGGGGCTGAGGAGCCTGGTAGACATTTTGGTGAGAGGGCTTGTTGAGAAGAATGGAGTCCAACGAGAGAGGAGGGAGGTCAACTCCAGTCGCTGGTCTTGGGCTGTTGGTAGTAGTGCGGTCCGGGGCAGGGATGAGTCGTCTCCAAGTGGTAGTGCCCACTTCACCTGGCCGGGTTTGGCGGAACTTCCAGGCCAAGATGGCCATGCGCTTGCTCTCGTCACCCTGGTGGCTTTGGTATTGGTTGGAAAGTCTGCGAGCACTGGGAGAGGTAGCTCGAAGCTCCTGTACTGCAGACAGGGAGCGGAAGTACCGACGGGTACGGGCATCAGCGTCTTGGGCGACTTGAGGTGATCCTGAGTCTTCAGCCATGCGCTTGTCTTGGGTCAACTCGGTGAAAAGCTTGGCCCACCAAGATGATTCAAAAAGAGGCTTGACCTTGGTAGGATGGGTCTTTTGCAGCTCATGGTAAGTCTCCAGGATCTTCTGGCCATCATTGTACATATGCGTACTGCATGTCCAGTTTTCCATCTGGTCGACTCCCGAGACATCACCCGCGGTGGGGTGGCCGTAGTCAAGGTCAAGCTGGATACCAAGACGAGATCCCGCAGGGGGGAAATCAGTCATGAGTTGGAGATTCACTTCTAATAGGATGATATCGCAGTCGATAGGGTTATTGATATCATCCACCATGGTGGCCAGCTGGGGGAAAGACGACCGCCAGCCGTTGACATGCTCAAGGGGCATGGGAGGGGCCACAGGTTGGTGAAGATCTCCTTGGAGACGAGTGTATGCATGCAACGCCTTGTCAATGCGGTTGGCCTGTTGAGGAGCGCTGACCCACATATCGAAGCTGAAGCCATGGATGGAGCTGGAAGGTGATTCCTGCATGCTGGAGCCCAGAGTGTAGTGTGGCGGAGGGAGATCACCAGCGTAAGGCTGCATAGATCTCATGTGGTCATGGTAGGCGGAATGAGTGTGGCTTGCATAGTGGCTGGATGCCGAAGGGTGTTCCATCGAGGCCCTCCACTTTGGAGCAGGCGCTGAGCCGTGCACACTCGATGATCGTTCCGTTGATGCCTCGCGTACAAGTCGTTCCCCTGCGAAATGATATCAGTAAAGGTGATGACAATTAATTTTTGGATCACTCACAATCGGGATCTCCCTTAAGGAAAGAGTCCAGAACCTGCAGGTGACTAGAGACCTGCTTGCGAGTCCTCCGCTTTCCAGTCAACTTGAAGATGTACTCGGCAATGAGTTCGTTTCTTCCATAGGACTTGCCCCGTTCCGACCACTTTCTCCGGCCCATGGGAGGGTTTGCTTCGAGGGCTATATCAAATCGTTAGGCTTGATGTCTGTAGAATAGCCTTTGCTTTGACTTACCCTGCTGGAAAGCATCCTCTAGCTCATCAGACCACACTGGCTCCCCATCCTTGCCAGTATCCCGGCGAGGACGTGCCCGATACTCGAGATACTTCTGGGACTTGAGGTAGCTGCTCCTCGCACGCCGAGATTGTGAATTAGCCCCGACGGATTGAAGCCGACGAAGCTTGCGCTGATGCAAGCGAGCAGCTACATGCTGCTGATGCTGATGCAAGCTATGTCCTGACAAGGGTTGTGGTGGAGCAGCGTGGGGATACTTGTATGCAAGCTGTTGAAGATGGTCATCACGGCCAGCAACATCGTGTGCCAAATGGTCCGAGTAAGACTGGACATTCCCAGAGGTATTCTGGAGAGCACGTTCTGAATGAGCGCTTACAGGATCCAGGGACGGCTGGTTCTGAGGCACGAGGCACTCGGATTGCCAGTCAGTAGCCATGGGAGGGGACCAAGGACGGGCTTCTCGAAAAGAATGACAGATTCCAACGAGGAGGGGATTGAGAGGCACCGTCAAATGCTTACTGCCTGGCAAAGAACGCAGCTCAGTCACAAAACAGTGACCCAAGAACGCAAGTCTGGAAGAGAATGTAAGAACCTGGGAAAGAGAATGTGAGAGCGAGCAAGTTGGTGTTTATAGGGAACCATATCTCCCCTTTGGAGGGGGTTACTGTGTAGTCCCAGTAGCAACATTGTTCCGCCTGGTCTCTACGTCCCTCGAACGCCTATGCTCCTAGGCAGGTCGTGGTCCTGGCTCGTGTCCAGGCACCGAAGAACAAAGGACCACGGCGAGCCGTCCTTGCTGCAGCAAATCAGGAGCCAAGACAGGGCTCGATATGAAGGAAGTCGACCGGGGAAGCAAGGGATGCTCAGCAGCACGACCCAGTGATGAGCGGTTCGGAGATTTTGTGCAGCACGAAATGACCATGAAGATCAGTTGCTCGGACCAGTGTCAACAACAATTGTCAACAATCAGTGGCAATCATGGCGGTGTTGGAATGTTGGTGGTCCAACGACGTCGTCTGAAGGCGCGGGACGAGGAATGCTCTACTACCATCAGGTACCACCCAAGGAATGAAGGCTTGGATGATCTCTGTTAACGACGGTCCTGCGTACCATCTGTAAATTAAGCTAGACTAGCTTGAGATGACCCTGCAATCCAACCTGAAGTTTAGTTGGAAGTGTGGGGATGGAAAGTGTTGGCACAGGGAAAGGGAAAAAGTAGGGTTAACGTTATACACTAAAAATACGCCTTGAACGCACGAGGACGGGAGACTGCAGTGAACAATTGACAGGAACGTGTTTGGGGTATCTTTTTTTCCTACGTGTAGTAGTATGCAAGTAATCGTACATTGGACATCAATCTGCAAGGGGCGTCAAGCAGCCAATCCCATGGCGCCCTTAGCCAAGGGAGAAAGGAGAGCTTCATGCCTCTTCCTCCTGCCCTCCTACAGTGAATTTCTTGCGGCCAGCACCAGCAGTAAGCTGTTGGAGCTTGACCCTGTCCACCTGTTCCCCTACCTTCTTCTCTAAGCGCGCCAGTTCCTCCTCGGGATCGACAGCCTCCTCGTTCGCGAATTCCAGAACCAATCTTCTCCCCAGGAGATGCGTGTTTTTCAACGCGTCCATGGCATTTTCCGCTTCGCGAGCGCTTACAAAGTCTGCAAAACCGAAACCACGAGCCGACCGATCGAACTTTTGAGGAACACGCACTGACCGAAGTTGTCCGTAGGCCCCGAACAGGGATCGGATTTCCTTCTTTGTGGCCTGGAACGGCAAGTTCTTGATTATGATCTTGGTGCGGCGTGCGGCAATCTTCTTCGCGGTGTCTTCGCGTCTCCGTTCCTCGGCAGCGTCCTTGCCCTTGTGAGAGGCCCGGATGACAAGCTCGTGCTGGTCCAACTTGTATCCGTTCATAGCTGCAAGAGCTGCTTGGGCTTGAGCCTTGGTCTTGAATTCCGCGAAACCGAAACCCATGCTCAGAGTCTGTCCCGGTCGCTTGGAATCGGGCTTGGTCTTGATGCGTCCAGTAACAAAGCCGTCCAGCGGCCGGAAGACTTCCAAGAACGTCTCGTTGCTGGTTGTGAAGTTGAGGTTCTTTACGAAGAGTGTCGTAGTTTCTACGCTCTCGTCGGCCTCTGCAGCAAATGTGTCGGCAGTTGAAAATCCCTGGTCCTTGCCCCGCATCTCGGGAGCAACTGGGCGCGGTGCCACTGACGAATCGAACAGGTCCTTGGGCGCTTTCTCAAGGAACAAGATGGAATCACCCAACTTGCGATAAGCCATACCCTTGAAAGCCTTTTGGGCTTCATCGGGTCGTCCGAACTCCACGATGGCAATGGTGCCGCTGGGTGGCATCAGGAGGCGAATGATCTTGCCGTAGGGCTCGAACAATTTCCTTAGCTCCTCGGACTTCACGCCATATGAAAAGTTCTTGACTAGAATAGCCGTATTCCCACGCTCACGCTGCTTGAAAGCATCAATGTTGACACCATTGTTGGCAAAGTAAGCTTTCGTTTCCTGAATGACATGCGTTTCAGCATGTGCTTGCTTGACAGCAGCATCAGACGATGTGGGATCCAGAAGATCTGATTTGGAGACTCCTAGCCTTCCAGCCACTGAAGACATGACAGCATCGGCCTGCGTCGGATTAGCATTTTTCTTTGGACGTAGTAGAAGCGAAACTCACGTTCATATACAGGGAGTTCCAGCTAAATGTAGAAGACGAGGCATTCATCTTCCGCTTGATCTCCTTTTGTTTCTTCAGAGGAAGCTTTGACAGCTCGTACTCATCAATCTTGTAGGTCTTCTTGGCAGAAGCTGGCAAGATGTGTAGAAGTCGACCCTGGAAATGCTTTCCATCAAGACCTTGGTAGGCCTCGACGGCAGCCTCGGCATCGGCATACTGCACGTACGCAAAACCTTTGCTGGTGGTAGAGCGGGTATCAAAAGCAACATGAATCTGTATCCAATTAGTATCCAATCTTGTTGAAAACATCTAAAATGAAAATATAAATGGATGAGTTGCTCTTCAGATAGTCAAGAAGCATCTACTAAAATCTCTTGTCCAGGTCACATCATCTGCTTTTGCATCGGATGTCCCTATCGGGAAAATCATCATTTGAGCACTCGGCAAGCGGCTGAAAAGCCAGCAAGCCTTGGGGAATTGGGCAAGGTAGAAACAAAATGGAGCAAGGACTAACCTCTTCAATTTTTCCGAAGCGTTCAAACAAGGGCTGAAGATCCGCTTCGGTTGTGTCGTATGCAAGGTTTCTGAGGAACAAACGAGCAGAGTTCCGAATGAGATCCAGGTTTGGATCTTCCGGGGCCTCCGGGGCTCCTTGGGGTTCGCTGTCAACGTCAGTCATGTTGGGCGCAATGTTCTCAATGGCCTCAATGCGCGATTCGCTGCCCACCGGCGGCGACTTATCATCAGCCGAGGATGACGGCGAATCAGAATCAGCAGGTGCTTCAGCCTTGTGTTGATCGAATTCGTCTTGCTCTTCCTCATCGAGAAGGCCCAACAGACGACTTGTCTTTGACCGCAACCAATCCGCATCAGATACAGGTGCAGCTTCCGCTTCAGGTTCCGCAGAGTTGTTCTGTTCTGACTCTTCGTGGTTCTCTTCCTCGCCACCCTTGTCAATCACCATGGGTTCGGGTTGTTGAACTCTTTCTGCTACAGGAGGCTTTTCTGTCTTGGCCTTCTTGGGGTGAGAAGGTAGCTCTTCCGTTTGAGTATTTTCCTGGATGGGTTGGTTAATCACGGGAGCAGTCACCGCGGACGGCTTGGCCATGTCATCATCATTTGCCCATGTACGAGTCTTGGATGACTGTCCCATCAGCGAAAGGTACTCCTGTAGCTTAGGGTCCTGTGATTTGTCTTCTCCATCCCGCTTGCGTTTCTTGTCCAACGATGTATCATTATCATTCGTGGCATCACGTCTTCGTGTGGGATGAACATCCTCAGCGGCATTTGATTCGATCTGCAATAAAACGGGTCAGTCTCAAGACCACCTTCATTGGTCAGCTTGCACGGGCGAAATGAGGTGGCTGAATCAATGGAGCAGAGTGAACATACCGGACGAGCGATGTCTACTGAGATCTTTGACATCTTCATGTATGTTCTGTTGAAGTGTGTAACAGCTTGCTGAGCTACTTCATGGCTCTTAAAGCCAACAAAGCCCATCCTACGTTTAGGCAGGACATGAGCGTCTGTGACTTGGAAGCGTGTTGAAAAGTGCTTCTTAAGCTGGTCATTGGAGCATGTTGGTGGAAGACCACTCACGAACACTCTGGTACTCTCCATGGTGTTCGGTGGTCAAGCCTTTTGAAGTGTGTAGACTGAAAATTTACTTCGAGAATTTTTTTTTTTCCTTGTATAGTGCCGTAAGCGGTAAACGGGGCGGTGAGAGCTCGGACCCGGCAGTAAAGTCGATTTGCCTGGGGTCGTCGGGCTATCACCGCGCAATCGGCTTGCTCCAGTTCAGTTCTCCCATATCGAACTCTTAATCCAACCCTTGTCGCATTCTTTTTTGATCCCGAAGCACACCCAACTATTCTGAAACCCGCAAACATGACTACCGCCGCAGATGACAAGAACGAGAAGATGGAGGGTAAGTTTGGCCTCGTGGCTCAAGTGACTCGGGCTAAATATGTTATACAGCGCAGATTAAGTCTGTCGACATGGTAGGGATCACAAATACAGTGAATACCGCATACATCAAGTCTAACCTTTCCTAGACCGAGGATATGCAGCAGGAGGCCATTGCCCTTGGTTTGACCCCCGAGAGCCCCGCGGGTGAATCAGGCTAACTTACTTCGCAGCCATCGAGGCCATGGAGAAATACCATGTGGAAAAGGTATGCACCCGCAGCAGATAGTCTGGAAAACAAACTTGATGCTAATGATTCTCTAGGACATCGCCCAATACATCAAGAAAGAGGTCCGACTCTACCCTACCCCGCTTCGATCGCGTCGCTAACCCCATACGCAGTTTGATTCTCGCAAGGGCGCTACCTGGCACTGCGTTGTTGGACGCAACTTTGGGAGCTTCGTGACACACGGTTCGTCGAGCGCACCGCATTCTACATGGTCCGAGACTGACATTCCGTTGAACAGAAACGAAGCACTTCATCTACTTCTACCTCGGCCACTGCGCCATCCTCCTTTTCAAGACCCAGTGAGCGCGAGTGAACCAATATGAGCGTATACAGACGTCCAACAACTTTGGAGGAGGTGATATCCCGGAAAACATGTGGTTTTTCAAGCGATTTCTTATTCTATGATCAATTTGTGCATGGCTTCTTCATGCTGAATCAATCGCCGCCTGTGGCTTCCAGGCGCACTTTCCAAGCCGAATCAACCAAGAATAGAGCCTTGGTCGTGTAAAATAAGCCCAAGTTGAAGTATTCGAGTAAACAAATAGGGAAATGAGCCAATCACAGGTCATGATATTTTGTCACGTGCATTTGCCAAGCCACAGCGCCACACCCCCATGCCGCTGCCTTCGCAAGACCTGCAATTCCTCAAATAGCTCCCAGTTCAATCTCTTCGGGGTTTGTGTGCAGGTTTATCTCTCCCTAGATACCACCATGGCTTTCTGTATCACTTTCGGAACTCATGGTAAGTCGTCCTGGAAAGACCCGCGATCCAGGCACCAGAGTGGACCCTGTCCCTGGAGCTGTTGCGGATGGCGGGTATCTGTCTTGATACAATGGATCCAGTTGTCCGTGGTTATATTAAGCATACTAATACCTTCTCCAGAGTTCTCGTCTCAGCTTGAAGGCTATGAGCATGTTCGCGCCTACTGCTACAACTGTAAGTTCTGACGTCACTGTATATGGGGAGTGACTTACCTTTTCAATCAGGCCAACACTGGAATGGGCACTGCATTACTCGATGGTATGTTCACAGTTTTGGATATATCTTCTCTTATTCCTCGGGGAAGGACACGACTAATACATATTCCAGGCCTTTTTTCACCGTCTGCTTCATTGTAAGTTAAGGCTTGAGCGTCGTCTTGAGGACCACTCAAGGTATCTAACACTGTTCTCAATATAGCCCTTGATCCCCCTTGCGACGCACAAGTACAAGGTGAGCATTCTCATAGTACAGCACATCTTCATTATCATATACTAATACACGAATTAGGAGGTCCAATGCTACACATGCCGATACACTCAAGACCTACGGTAGGCTCTACTTCACTACTAAGCCAAGTACAACACTCTTGAGCAGATCCACTAACAAAATTGGCAATAGTGACCGGCCGGATATCACGCCGGAGACTCGACCCCCGGCAGGTGGGCAGTTCGGGATCCAACCACCTCCGGGGGCTCAAATCTGGCAGCAGCCTCCTGGTCCTCCCCCTCAGGCACAGGGCGGTCTAGGATACAAGTGAGCGGAGGTTAAAGGTGATTGATTCTTGATAGCATGAGGAAGCAGGTGATTTGGGGAGAGCGTAGGGGGGCTGGTAGTGAGGTGCATTTCTCAGCTTAACTTCGTGGGCTTTAGCCTGTTGGCGTTGGGTTCATCGTTTAATTTGCCATACTGGCATCTAAGCAAATGATTCACTGGGCCGTTTCTTTATTTTTGTGGCACGAAATGCGCTCTATCACTATTTCGTGTGCGATTGCCTAACATCCGTGCGGCAGTTTGCCATTCTCCATCAATGAAAAATATCCCGGCATCTATAAAAGATGACTTCTGTCCTTTTCTTTTCTTTTCTTTCCCTTCTTCTTACAACTCCCGGCCCCTTTCCCCTTCTTCCCCCCTCCCAAAGTATATATACCAACGAAGACGTGATATGTTTCTGGTTGCTGTGGAGGAATCCACATATGGCCTCACGCCAAATCCATCCATTTCTTCTTAAGCCACACAAGCAGAAGCAAATTGCGATCCTTCTGGTAGCCCTGGGACCCAAAACAGCTGCGGAACCCCATCCTCTTGGTGCTCCACTGGTGCATGCTTTGTATCCGATTTTCGGTCCGTGACCGGGTTGAATGGCGAGTTCCGTTCGTTGTGGATTGTTTGCCGACACCGTTGCAATTCCGTCTTGCGCTAGGTGTAACAAATCGCACAATATATGTGTGGATGTAGGTTTTTGGTGCCTTTCCAGACGTATTGCGTACACAACACTGAACTTTTGGGCCCTTGCAGGTTCCGCTCGCCGTTCAGGGCCACATGTACGAACAGATGGCACTCCTAGGCTTCCGGATATCCTGGCTCTAGGCAAACAGTGAGGACAGCTATGATACAACCACTGGGAAGGGGATGAGGCCAAATTTGTATGGAAACGATGCAATCCAGTCCACTGCAGCGGCTGTTCGGGACCTCGGCGCTGCCTTTGACACAGGACACGGTACATAGCCCGGCCCTCCGTTTCAAGTGAACGAAGACCATTGATGTGAGTTGAATCATGAGGTTCACTCAAACTCTACATCTTGTGCTAACTTAAGGGGTCTAGCTCGTGCAGTGCGGAGGCTGCCGTACATGTCTTCGGGTTCAAGCTTTTGCTTGCCCTAGCTCCTGGAACTACTCAGTTTCCTGTCCCTCCATAGAAAATACTTCATTCTTCCTTCTCTCGCTCTCCACCTTTTAGCCTATCGGAAAGAGAATTTTGCCAAAAGGCAGACAAAGCAATTTTGACATAAAAATGTGCATCTGAATTCGAATAGATAGCAAGAAGGGGTATAAATAGCTAGGACAAGGACAAAAAAACAACCACCACCAAATCACACCTCATCTCCCTTAACCTTCTCCCCTTTCTCCGTAACAGCATCAGGCGTCTGCACTCCAGAAGGCGTAGCCTCCCCAGCCCCAGTCCCACCAGTCTTAGTACCGCGATAAACAGTCGGCTTCCTCCCAACAACATCAAGCGCCATCATACTCGCAACCCTCCAAATACTCTCACGTCCTTCATAAAGCGGGAATACAACAACCCCAAACAAGGTGAAGAACAACCAAAGAATACCAACGACAACCCACCCGGTAAAGAACTTCCGACTGAACACGTACGAAGACCCGTACATCGGGATCGGCCAGAGGATCAGCAATGCCAATGCCATGAAGATGGTCAGCGTGCGCGCGTAGAGTGCCGAGCGGTTGAGTTTGCGGTCTTCTTCTTCGCTTTGGGTCTGCGTTTGGTTTGTTTCGCCGGGGACAAGTTCCAGGTCGATGTGTGCTGCCGCGGCGACGTCTGTGTCGTCTACTTTGCGGATCTGGCGCATGGATTCATAGTCATAGTTTTGGGGGCCGAATGTGTAAGTTAGGATTGGGCTGAAGATTACTGGGCTCAACAAGGCCGCGACGTTGCCTGCTAGCATTGGGTAGCTGGGAGATATGTCAGTGGTTGGATGATGAGTTGGTGATGGAGATTGGGATGCTTACTTGGCGCCCGTCGTGTCGACGGTTAGGATGCCCGACTCCTTCTTTGCTGTTACCAGCCAGGCGATGAGGGATACTGCCAGACCGAGGGGTGGTGAGACAGCTGCTGCGATGTGGTTCTGACCCTTCCAGAGGAGGGTCATTGCTCCGGGAAAGACGGCTGAGGAGATGATCACGCCCATGAGTAGGTAGAGGTATCCCATGCCAATGCCGGCGTAGTAGAGACCCGTAGCAAAGCCAGCCATGATAATTGAGTAGACGATACAGGACATGTGCGAGATCCAGACGAGTCTCTTACCCTTAGCAGAGGGATCGATATAGGCCTGATAGATATCGTAGGTGAAGATCGAGGAAACGGCAATCAGCTGTGCCGAGAAGGCAGATGTCACCGCCATGAAGATCATCAGTGTCGTAGCAACAGCACCGCTATATCCCAGGAGCTTGACCGCTGCAAAGGGGAGAACCAGTCCGGCGGTGACATCGTTAGCGCTCATGCGCTGAGTTCCCTCCAGTGCCAATGCGGAGATTCCCATTGTGCTGGCGCAAAGCCAGGGAATGGCGAACCAGCAGAGACCACCGATCACGTAGCCGGGGAAAGCGTGCACGGGGCTTGCGGCGATGGCTTTGTTGTAGTATCCATTGTCGAGGAAGACGGTGCCGAAGTTTCCGATCAGGTTGATGATCCAGAAAATGCCACCCTCCTTTGAGCGCATGGTTAGATAGCTGCCTTCTGCATTGCCTTCGACTGGGTGGCGCTTTGAAGCTGCGACTAGCGCATCGTATACCTTGGATGGGGAGCCGAGTTCGGCGTTGGTGGCGTAGGCGGAGAAGGCGAATAGGAAGATTACCACGAGGATTACTACTGTGTGCATGTAATCCGTGATGAAGGTGGCTTTGATACCACCGAACAGAGTGTATAAGACCACGCCGATTGGGAGCAGGAAACAGGCTGCTGCGGTGGGCACGCCGGTTAGGGAGGTCATCACGGCTGATCCGCCGGTGAGCAGCATTGCTGTGACGAGGACGTTGGTCATTAGGCAGAAGACGATGAATACGCAGTGGACAATGGTTCCATAGCGGGCACGGATGACTTCTAGGAAAGTGTGGGCGTTTGGTGCTCGGCGTTTTAGTTCAATTGCGATTGTTGCGAAGAGAAGGATCTGGACGGTGGCACCTATATACAACAGATGTTAGTTATCACGTTCTTTCCATCTGTATATGGAGGATACGAACCGGATGCATAGAAGAAAGGACCCGAAATGCCGTATTTATATGCCACTGCAGAGGACTGGAGAAGGGTAGCAGCCCATGTCCAACTACTAACCACAGCAGCAGCAACGAGTCCCGACTTAACAGACCGGCCGGCAGTCGAGAACATTTCTGATGTCTGGACTTCATGTTGATAGCTATAATTGGGTATTATTAGCATACTCGAACGGTATCAAGTGACATATAGAGCCCTACCGTTTCAAAGCCCAAGTAATGAAGATCATCAACAAGGCAAAGGCAAAGCCCAGTCCAAGGATGATTCCATATCCAAAAGCCTTGGACAAGGGCGCTGTGAAGGTCACCGAGTCCGCCATAGCTGGATGAGGTAGGACCAGCAACGGATGGAGGGTATAAAATGTTGCTTCCAATTGGTAAACTCAGCCAATGGTGTTCCAGTTGCAAATGGTACTTTGTGCTTGAGTATAGGCTCTGGATTGGGAAGTGTTATTCATACACACAGCGGAGGATAACGACTTCATATAGGGCAAGACGTGTAGCATCGGAGCCTGCCACTACTCCGAGCTCGCATCTGGGGCACATGCTGATCCTTGATTGGAGCTTAGATAGGGATGTAATGTGATTGTCAGATAAGCTGTGGCTCTCGTAATGCCCTTCGCTTTTGCGTCTGGGGCGGCACATGTGAATTGAGACTAGAAAGTAGGTTCTCGGTATATCAGCCATTCTGGGGCATTTTGAAGTCAATTGAACATTCAATTGGTGTGTTGTAGGCTTTGTGATGTTCGCCATTGGTGGGTGGGTGTTATCAGTTAGGGCTGTGGCTCGGCGGTGATTGGCCGGGCAGGGAGCAAGATAAGACCTCCCGAGGAGACTAAGAGTTGCTCGGCAGTGAGCTTTTCTCCTAACGCCAATTATATGCAAGATGCTAACAGAGGATGGATCCGGGGACGTCGGGTCTAACAGGAGAGATATCATACTTTTACTCGATCGCATTATTTCTGGTCAGGGTCCACTATCTACCTCCTCTTGGCGTGTTTATATGTGATATGCCAATTAGGTGACCTACTTTGACCTGTTATTTAGGATAAATACTCGCTGTCAGTCTAGTAGCTTGCTTATTCTAAAATTGTTTCTTAGGGCATATCATAACGGTCTGGAAGGTCTACTCTCAATATCATAAGGCTAGGATATGTTGATCAGCTATTATTGAGAGCTTTTAAGAGAATCAAGTCTTCCATGTCTACTAGAGAAGAGCTTCTATTCCTTGTTCAGAGGCTTTCTAGATATTTACGGACAACGGTCTCCCGCTAAGACCCTATGCATTGGTCAACTGTTCCCCGGATATTTCAAACGACCCCACAGTCCATGCACGATCTAGAACAAGGTATCCCGTGTGCAAAGGTTCAAGAAACTTTGATTTTGATAGACTAAATTGCCAGAAGTTGGTCAGACGAGATAAACAACCCAGAGTGGCCGACGGGCCGACGGCCGTAGACATATAGTATCAAGGGCGGTAAGCTACTATGGAACCATATCAAATAATGTTATACGGCCGACTATTAACCCTCGACATAAAGTTACATAAGGCCTTACATGTAAGTTAGTTATATCCATGAATATATAGGTACCCGCCGTCGCGAGATATCCTTCAACGTAATCTGACCAAGACAATCGACCTCCCCAGGACCAAGCTCAACCCCTAACCTTTCAAGCTCTATATGTCTTCAGCCCATAGAGTTCTTAAGTACTATGAAAAAGCATTCTACGGCTACAGGCCCTGTGATGCATCTTTCAAAGACGTCAAAGATGCTCTATAGTCAATCTACACTGCGATCCAGTAAATATAGTCACAGTTTGCTTCTGCTACGTTGGATATATCCAGGCTGTCTCTCCAGTCACACTCTTGCATGTCTGTGTTTCTAGCCGGCACAAAGGGGGGGGGTTTAGATGATGATTGGGTTGTGTAGTTGATCTTGTCCTGATATGGTATGCCTCTATATCATGCTCGATAGTAACGGTAATGAGACACAGTTAGAAGTAGCAGGGATGTATGAACAAGGCAGTAGGAAGCCAAGTCACCCATGAACCAATTATTGACACCTGCGAGATCGGAGGAACGAGTTTCGTCATGGCGATTTGATAGTACTACTGAACGAGGTGGACTGTGTTTCCACGCACTACAATGACGTACGCACCCGGAGAAGAACACGGAAAAACGAATAACTATGCATGAATAAAACGAGCCAAAATTCAGGGTACCAAGTTAGTTCAATGTCAGGTACACATTGAAGTCTCATATTGTACAGACAATGTCGAGATAGAAGCCCATGATACTCCAGGTTCTAGTTGCTACAGCTCAATCCAGCGCATAATATCGCTAAGGAACAAACGTGTGGCATCAGAAAATCAAGAGATACCACAGGATCAAGTCTATCCAGACTGACCTATACAGCCGATAGGTCGTTGAGGGACTCTTTTGCAACCGCAAATGAAACACCACAAAATGAAAACGGAATCACGCCAGCTGTTTCGGAATGAATAATTCAAGCGCCATCGATAGAAAATGGCCGGAATTTCACAGGGTATAGAGAAGGAGGTGGTAGGAGGAGGGGGTTCGAGTTCGAGTTTCGCGTAGTCAATGCCCGGAGCACATGGGCCGTGTCAGGCTATCTCATGAAATATCGACCGTGCGAGAAGGGAGGTTGTTCAAATTTATGCGGAGAACTTGCGGGTGACCTTGGCGATGACTAAAGGAGTAATTAGCACACACATTCACACCTGAGCTGTCTACCAGCAATTCGATTCCAGGTATTCTTACCGTGCAGACCAACAACCGAGAAAATGAAACCCAAGCTCAGAACCAGAACAACAACGGGGTCAACGCGCAGACCGGGGCTCTCGTCGGTGTAGAGCTTCAGCATGGTACCGGAGGAACCACCGGCGCCAGCAGAGCGAGTGGAGCTGGGGCGGGCATTGCGCAGAGTCTCCTTGTGGTCGGCAGCGGCACGGCGGCGCATGGCAGCGCGAGGGCCGCCGGGAGTAGAGGGCGAGGAGGGACGGCTGACGGAAGAGCCGGTGGCAGCAGCACCGGCGGACTTGGAGTCAGCGCCGGACTCGGCGCCGGAGGTCAGGGGGGAGGCGGGACGGGGAGAAGCCTGAGGAATATGTCAGTTTCTGTGGCATTGTTGGGTTGAGTGGCTTCAATGGATGTTGGCGGATGGGGTAACGAGCTGGCTTGATCGTCGTGGTCGGTTGATGGATTGGATGGTACTCACCATTGTGATTAGTCGAGGATGAAAGATGGGAGATGAAGACCGGATTAGAGGATAGATGGAATTGAGTTCCAGAAGAAAAGAAAGGAAAGGAGCTTGAGAGAGAATCTGGACAAAAAGAGGGAGAGGGAGGTTTGCGGAGTTGAGGCCACGATCACGGTTTCTTAGGTCATACGGTATTCGACTTGTTCCAACAGGCTGTTCAGGGCCAACTTGGCCATAATTACACGTATTCCCAATACATTTAGTTTCACCAATCAAAATGTCGGACATCAAGTAGTTCATCCTCGTCTTTGCCAATTCTCACCTTTGAAGAATCGCTAACCTTGCAATATTCGTGAGTTTACACACAGTAAACGGAATATAGTGAGCCGAATAACCTTATAATTTTCTACTATGCATGGTCAAATTCTATCGCAGCTTCATGGGATCATAGATATATATCGAGGTCTTTCTAACTTAGTCCTTTACAGCAAAGACTCTCATTTAAAGTCATTTAAAGAAAGAATAACATATAAAGTAACCATGTAGAAATACAAGAATCTAGATAGATAGATCATGATAACGATATCAAGTGAGATACAACTCCATGGCAGAGACACCGACGCGTCCTCTTCTCTTCAACGCACCTTCCCTGTGGCCCAATCTACTCCAACACACCACAATTTCAACATGCGACGTGCCCAGGAAACACTCAACGAACCAGCATGTCAACAAAGGCTGCGCATATCGCGATAAAGCCTCAGAAGACACACGCTCAGACCAAGGACAAGGTGACGCAGCCAAAGGCACGCAAAGTGAAGCGCAAGTCAAAGAGCCGAAGAAATAAGGCATGGTCTTGTCTTCACTTTACATTTACTGAGCTACCATTACGAGGTTATCCAGTGTATAGACTAATGTAATAAGTCTAGTAGCTCAACCGATTTACCGTGCGTCCACCAATACCCACGTGGTCTGGAACAATGCGAGAAAAATGGTGATGAGGACATGCTATGAGGAGGAGGGATAGCCTGGAACTTCTCTACATCCGTTAATATAGAAAGTGCTAACTGGAAATATTATTCAGAAGTCTTATTCTCTAGCAATCATACTTGAAGATCGTTCGTGGGACAGAGGACGACTTCGAACATGAGTACTTATACAAAGTAACGCTACCTCTTCTTTCACTTTCTCTTTTCCCAACTCTCTTCCTTCCACCATTCTCTTCATTACACTTGACCACTTCAGCAAGCTTGTTCCTACTCTTTCGACACATCCACAATGCGTCATACATAGAAGACGCTGAATTAATCGAGCATGCCGAAGAAGACGACATCCATACACTACGCTCTATAGTTAAAACTTTCGCCCACGCGATCAAAGTCACAGGAGGTTTTGATGACGAGAAGTGTGGTACCTATGACAAGGAAGAGGACCATGACTTCGAGGATCAGTAATGGCTCCGGTCCCAGAAAGGTCTCCAGATCGTGAAGAAGCCAAAGGAGGCACCCTTCCAAGCCGAGCAAACAGCCGAGCAACTCCCATCCTAGACCAAGACTAACCCTGAGCGTAAGGCAAAGCTCAAGTCAAAGAAATGGGGTATGAGAAGCTCGACTCCACTTTCATGTTCACAACGCTATCATTTTGAGGCTATCGGGTGCATATACCGATGTTATGAGTCTTACAGTCCCAGTCTACAAAATGGCATAGCACGCTGTCTTTAGGGTCGGCGATCGTTTAGCAAGAGGCCGGTCTTGTCTACGAGGAAAACATCCAGATGTCTAGTCTATTGATATTAAGAAGACTAGCACACATTCATATTGTAGCGTTGAAGGGCTTGTCATACAGACATGGAGAACACCTCCGGGGAATCAAACCAACCAGATAACGCCGTCGGGAGTACTCGTGCAGAGAGGGAGGGGGGTATGTAAAGGAGAGCAAGGAAAGGAAAGCAAGGAAAGGGGAAAAGGGAAAGAAAAAATAAAATCACAGGAATTTTTGGGAATGGGGAAATGATATGGGATATGGTGTAGGGGTGGTCAACAGAGGTATGATGCCGAGGCTGGAAACCACAGATAAGAAAGGAAAGACAAAAGTATCAGGCTAAATTTCAAGCGGTGCCCAGTGGTTGGATGTCCACATATGTGAGAAAGAAAGAGAAGGAAAGAAAAGACATGACGCTCCGAAATTCAACGCCCCAAATAATTATAGAAACAAATACCCGTTTTTCTCGTTGATTTGATCGATTAGTCGATCATCATCCGTGAGGGGACTTGGGTGAGGTTTGAAGAGAGCTCGGTTGTCTTTTCTTCCGACTTGTTCTTCTTCTTATTGATGTGGGGCTTCAGACCGCGGTTGAAGTTGTTCGTGCACAGGCAGGCGTTGATGATGGTGATCACAATCAGGACCAGGGTGATGATTGCGAAGAAGGTCATCGATGGTCGTGCGGGCAGGTATTGTGGGCTTGTTAGCGGGTCGTACATTCGGAACAGCTTGAAGATGAAGTAGCCCATGGCTGCGAACAAGAGGAGCTGGTCATACTGTCAGTAGTTGGATAGGAAGGTAAAAGTGGTGGTCTTACGATGATGCAGACCATGCCCGCGGTGGTTTCTCGTCGCACAAACCATGCGCCGCAGACTAGAATGATAATGGTCACTGGGATGGCGGCTACCGTGAGCGCGAACTCGGCGTCCATCTTGGCTGAGGAGACCAGAACCAGGAACTGGACTGTGAAGCCTAGGAAGAAGAAGAAATCGAATTTCAACAGCGCGATGTAGATCTAACCAGTTAGTTGTGTTGGTCGGAGGAGTGGGCGAAAGACGAACCTGATAGGTAAGGTAGCGGCGCTTCATCTGCAGATCGGCACTGATGTGCTTGTAGATTGTCCATGCGAACTCATCGTACAGCTTCCAAGCGACAAAGGTCATCAAGAATGTTCCTAATGCGACGATGCACGGAATGATGATAAGGAACGGTTCGGATTGAGCCCAGACGACCGGACTGATTGTGTCCATGTCGGCCAAGACCGAAACCGCAGTTCGAATCTGGTTCACCTGAACAGCGCCATAAATCAAGAGTCCAATATTGCAAATACACAGTCCGATGACCTGGATCGTGTTCTTCATGCGAAGAGCATCGTAGACCAGAACGAGTTCGTAGAGGAAACCGAAGGAGTACAGAGCGAGGAAAGTGGGGATGGTTTTGGATGAAGGACTGTCGTTCGGGATCTCTTGGATCTGGAAGTTGGCGAAGATATAACTAAAAGCGATCAGTATTCGAGTTCCATCCACACAGGCGACCTCCATACCATTCAAGTCCGAGTGTCACCAATGTTTGGATGAGCGTAACGATCGCAAAGGACCATGTCCAGTGGGTGTTGGGCATGTACATCCCGCCGGGCTTGCTCGCAGGAGCGACGTTTGCATATCCTTCTCTGGCGCGAAACCCTCCCCCTCGTCTAAAGGCAGGGTCAAAAGAGCCCCCTAAGAGCGAGGCGCGCGAACCGTGTGAAGGAATCTTGCCGAGAGGCTCCGTGACGGAGCTCGGATCAACGTGGTGAGGGAAAGGCACGGTGACGGTGTGACCACCTGACGGCGGCTTTTGTTTATAAGTCAGGTGGGAGCCCGGGGGGACACAGAATGAACGGGGGGGCTTGGGTGCTTGGCAGCCGTGATTCGCAGGCAATTAGACGGTCGGACTCAGGAACATCAGACCCTCGAGCCAGTCGCGATGAAGGCTTTTTTTTACTCCCGCGTGTTTCCGAGGCGGGAGGCGGGGGGAAGAGGAGATGGCAGCGACAGGACAGCAAGGGTGGAAGTAGGGGCCCAATGCTGGAATTGAACGAGTGAATGAGTGACAGGAGGAAAAGAGAGAGAAAGATACTAGGGGGGAAAGTATCTGGGGTTGGAGCACATACCAACACACAACAGAGCATGCCGAGACTCTCTCAGCCCTGCTTACTACTCTACACGGGATGTCTAGAATCTTTTACTCCGTCGTAATCTACGCCATTTCTCCTGAATGGTGGAGTTGATCCATATTGTGCGCCGACAGGTACAAACCTTTAAAAGTCGAGTCCAGAACACTTCCATCGTTTTGCGTACCATGGTGGGTTTTAATGTGGCTGCCTACGCTAACCCCCACACAACTACACTGAGGTTAACAGTTGAGGGTATCCATGTACTACAGTATTCCAATCCAGGGTCTCTTTACTTGTGAACAACCTCTCAAGCCACAGCCACTCCTGAGAATGTGTGAGACACGGAATAGCCACGAGTGGCTGAGGTATCACGGGATCCACCGTGTACCGTGTCTTTCGGAGCACACCGTTGTGTTTCATGTTGTTGCGCCCCATTCTTTAATCTTCCGTTTCGTCGGTTCCTCATACTAACAAGCTGAAACGATCCAACCCAGGGGTGTTCGCACCCGTACTTTTGGAGCTGCGTACCAGGTTCATGCCAACCATGCATATGCTACCGACACCTTGCATTGAGGGCTAGATCCAGGTCCATCCCCATTACCAGTCATCATATACTTGTACTCGCTGAGGAACTTCAGTATATTGGAGGATTCGACGCAGATATTGATAGATCTGCATCGATCCGGCTCAGTCGGCACGCCTGACACTGAAACGGATGAGCCACACCACTCCCCATTCAGTGGCAGTGCTGGTCCACTGGACCTTTGCAGATTGTTAGGCCGACCAAAGAGATAACAGCAGCAGGTTCAACAAGCCACAGTCTCATCACAGCATGTCCTGGGGATAGTTTTATAGGTCACGTGGCTGGTATGGTATCAGACAGTAGACAAAAGATGGCATTGAAATATACATGCTGTGCCCCGGAGACATATCCAGCTTGCTTACTACAATTGGAATAAGGAAGAATCTGGCTTTGTTGCTTTGGTTTCGGCCTCGGATCCGGTCGTTGACTCTATCGTAGTAGTTAGTCACTGGCAAGTTCAAAGATGACCAATATTGAAGTGCGTTTAACGAGGTCTGACTTAGTATCAATTTTTGAACATCTCCTCATAGGCTCTCTCCATGATGTGAAGATCTAACTATCATGTTGATCATTTTTCTATTGTCGTAAATTCCGCCTTATCTGTAGATCAAAGCGCCACAAAATACAGGGATAGGATTCAGTAGGGAAGCACTAACATATCTCCAATTACCTAAACATTCAATCTCAGATTCTCCTATGGTTTCCCTTTTTGGCGTGGGGTATTCCTACGTTATCGCGCTTATCCCCGCACTCCAATGATATCGGCTAACCTTAGCCGTTTGGGCTAGGTCTATCGGTCTTCTCCATATAATGAAGTCCTATGCGATCGGTATATATAGGGCTACAAGAATTCTGCATCTTGAATTCCTGAGTTATTAGGTACTATCTTCTATCACACTGAAACTAACATTGTTCTACAACGTCAATATGCTGTCACTGTGGGCGGGTGCTGTGTTGACCTTCGGATTCATTGTTATTCGAGGGTTGCTCTCGCCCTTGTCAAAATTACCAGGGCCATGGTATACACGATTCACAAGTCTGTGGATCAAGTACCAAGAATTCACTGCTAACCGGCGCGAATCTATCCATGCATTGCATAAGATCTATGGGCCGGTGGTCAGGCTCGGACCGAATGAGGTATCATTCACAAGTCTGGATGCTATCAAGGAGATCTACGCTTCTGGGGGGAGTGGGTATGACAAAACCGAGTATTATGATCTGTTCAGGCAGTTCAAGATCAAGTGAGTACCACTCCCAGGCATAGGCTTAGCAGATCGTTGATAAAAAGCCAGGACGATGTTCTCTACTTTGCAGAAAGATGAGGTGAGTCTTCTGAACAGTAGTTATGCAGCATTGTCCTGACAATAAGTAGCATAGCAAAAGAAAACGTATCTTTGCTGAACGATATGCCATGTCCAATATCATGAAGGAAAAGCCCATGGCCGCTATCCATGAACGAGCCACAACATTCGTATCCAAGTGTGTCGAAGCTGGTCAGATGAGCGTGGATGTCTATGTACGTCGAGACCACAGGGGACTATAGAGACACATGTACTAACCCATCTCACCAACCAGTCCCTGCTCCACTGCTACGCCCTCGACTGCGTGACCCATTTCATGTTCAGCCCCGGTGGTCTCAGATCACTTAACGATCCCCAAGACTACGAAATCATGCATGAACTAACCTACCATCAAAGTCTCCAAAGTAAGCATCGGCCCAATTCCAAAACACAACCATAACTAACCATATCCCAGAAAACCTACTGGAATACTACCTCCCAACCCTAGCCCCCTACTTCCCAACCCTCCTCCACCCACGCAGCGCCCCAAAGGCAAACAAATACGTCCAAGAAAGCGCAGCCATCCAAACCCACGACCCTCACTCCCTAATGGAAAAGCTCAAACGCAAAGAATCAAACCTACACCTAATGCAAGCAGCAGCAGAATGCAAAGAC